CAATGTTCTAGTCTTAGGTCGAAAATAAACTTTTCACACTCCCCACCCTCCCCCACCTTTCCCCACCTCTGCCCCACCCCTCCCCCACCCCTCCCCAACGTATGGTCCTTGAGATGTACGTCTAAAACCACATGAAGTAATGTCTGAGGGAAATGGAGTGGCTGCCCTTGTTAGTTGGATTGGTCCTCCATCTAAAGTCCCTAGCGGGGGGGGGGGAGGTGTGGGAAATTTGGTGTTGTAAGCTAGGACATATTTGGTGTTTTAAGCTAGGACATATTTGGTGTTGTAAGCTAGGACATATTTGGTGTTGTAAGCTAGGAAATATTTGGTGTTTCAAGCAAGTCAAATATCTGTTGTTATTTAAGCTAATCACGATCAGTCTTCTGGTGAAGACATCCATATTTTATTAACCTGTCCTAATATCCATCAATTGTCCTAATATCACGTGACACAGAGAGGAGAGAAGTCGAGGTGGGAAAACAAAGATTGGAGTGGTCATGAGTTTTTGGTCAGCCAGTAGGTCACCCTGGGGCCCTTCATGTGTAAGACAATCCTTTGTATTTCATTACGTAAGACATCTTTCTCTGACAACTCTTTTGTCTGTCTTACATAATGTAAGACAACTCCTTTCTCTGTCTTTCATTATGTAAGACAACGCTTGTGTCTGTCTTCTATTATGTAAGAAAAAAAAAAAACCTTTGTATGTCATTATGTAAGACAACACATTTGTCTGTCCTTCATTATTTAAGACAACACATTTGTCTTTCTTTCATTATGTAAGACAACGCATTTATCTGTCCTTCATTATGTAAGACAACACATTTGTCTGTCCTTCCTTATGTAAGACAACACATTTGTCTGTCCTTCCTTATGTAAGACAACACATTTGTCTGTCCTTCCTTATGTAAGACAACACATTTGTCTGTCCTTCCTTATGTAAGACAACACATTTGTCTGTCCTTCCTTATGTCAGACAACACATTTGTCTGTCCTTCCTTATGTAAGACAACACATTTGTCTGTCCTTCCTTATGTAAGACAACACATTTGTCTGTCCTTCCTTATGTAAGACAACACATTTGTCTGTCCTTCCTTATGTAAGACAACACATTTGTCTGTCCTTCCTTATGTAAGACAACACATTTGTCTGTCCTTCCTTATGTAAGACAACACATTTGTCTGTCCTTCCTTATGTAAGACAACACATTTGTCTGTCCTTCCTTATGTAAGACAACACATTTGTCTGTCCTTCCTTATGTAAGACAACACATTTGTCTGTCCTTCCTTATGTAAGACAACACATTTGTCTGTCCTTCCTTATGTAATACAACACATTTGTCTGTCTTACCTATCCCATGACAAGCTGTTGTTTATTTAGGGATATGTGTGGGAGGTAGAACAAAATGATTGGGGGAGGGGAGGTGGGGGTGGGAGATGACGTTGGTGTTGTGATAAAGGGCGATCATCTGGTTGAGCAGAGTGGACAAACCCCTTTGGAAATGGAGGCGAATAATGCATTATCTACCAGAGTAGCGTGGGTTGGTTTAAAAATGGACGTCAATAGCTTTAAGAACTAAAGCAACCAGCGGACCTCTATGCTAATGGTGGGGAGAGAGGGAAGTAACCTGAATAATTGTTTAGATTCAACTTTTCACTTATAGAGGACTGGACTAATACTGGACTGGAAACGCAGTCTATAGATTTTTTAGGAAAATATATACATTTCTTTCAAAGCGAGACTATGGAGTCATTGATGTTTGACGACTGTACGGGGTGGGGGTGAGGGTCAGGTGAAGTGTTTAGACAGGTAGGGAGGCAGTGTTTCTTCCAGACCTTTTTCTCCGGAGGGGGGGGGACACTTGAAATTTTCGGGGGGGGGGGGGGGCACTCTTAAAAGTGTATATTTTCTATATAAATTCTATTTCGTTCGAGGGGCGGTAGACTTTCTTCGGTGACCCCTCGCCCCCCGAAGAGATGCCTGAAAGAAACACTGAAGAGGGTTAGGATTCAAGTCCATGTAAGGCGACCACATGTCAAATGTAACACCAAAATACTTAGACTGGAACTGAGCAAACTCGGTGTGGCTTTAAGATTAGCGAGAACGCTGCGTACGTTCATATAAGTTAAGTTCTGATTTCGATGTTGAAGTAGAGTTCATCTGTTTCTGTGTCCTCGGCATGTGAAGGAATAGTGTGGTCAGCACTATGCCCAGCATTCTTTACTTTCTATAACGTGAGTTAGGTTAGGTACTCATCAGAGCTGGGTGAATTTAGGAACGTTCTACTGAACCCGGATTCGAACTCGAGACTTTCGAGATGACGGACATCCGACCATAGAAATCAAAATTTTAAAACTTTTCTTTCCCTGTAAAGATAAATATTTAAAAACCCTCATCAAGTTTGTGGTTCAAATAGTTAAAAAAAGCAATTAAAATCAAAGGTGGGCTCATCCAAAAGTCTTCATAATTAATAACGTGTAATTAACAACGTGTTCTTCTAGATTAAACATTAGAGACTAGTTTTAGCAACATACACTCAAGATGAGAATAAACCACGGTATGGCCTATACCAGGGGTCTCCAAACTTTTCAGTCCGAGGGCCGCATTAACTATCAAATTTCAGTTAGGGGGCCAGTTTCTTCCAGGCATGTCTTTAATTGTTCTGGGCAAAGTTCCTCAGCCATCACCAACAAACGATTTTTCCTTAGACAAAAAGATCTCCGCGGGCCGGATGAGAGGACTTCGCGGGCCGCATCCGGCCCGCGGGCCGTAGTTTGGAGACCCCTGGCCTATACTATTAGCATCGCCTTGTACATGTTATAGAATTAGCATGAGTAAGTATTGTTAAGAGGACTATTACGTTTATGTTGACGTCCACGTTGAGTGAAAAGGGGGTGGGGCAGATTAACAGGAAAAGAAGAGGTGGAAAAAGATTTTATGCTGGTGTCTTTAATCAACAATTCTAGAAAAGGGAGAGAACTTAAATAATTGTTTGTTTCCAATAAAAGTCTCGGTTACCTCCCTTACTATGTTGCTTACATAATGGAACTGTTTTATTTTATCTTTCAAAAGTTTTGCCACTGCTATTATATTAAAAATCTTCCAAACACCGAAACGTAATTTTTGTGTACAGTTAATGTAAATAAACTTGTTGATTTGATAACAGGAACCAGGGTTTTAACCTGTTTTGTTTCATTAGCTTTCTCACACATCCCACCCCGGTCATAATCCCCAACCCCAGTCCCGACCCCCAATCCTAACCGTGACCCCAACCCTAATAGTGACCCCAACCCTAACTGTGACCCCAAACCCACTGTGACTACAGAACCAATGCAAAATGTTCTGAAAATATTAGGTATATTTAAAACTTTATACTTGAAACTTGATACATGATTCTTTATACTTGAAATGTAATACTTGAAACTTTATACTTAATACTTTATACTTGAAAAGTTTCTATAAAAATAATAAGTTTCTTATTTTATTTTTTAATGAAAATCTTATTCACGCAAAAAAAAAAAAAAAAAAAATCCAATAGGACTAAAACATACATGAAAGTCAGTGAATACAAAAACCATATCACTTACCATGAGTAACAAAATAATGCATCACATGGGCATAGGTCTTTCACATCAGGTATTGTAGTTTTTATGAATTTCGTCATCTTTCTTAACTGTAATGCTGGAAAGGGTTTTCTCCAAAACAATTAAGTATTACATCTCGACCTTAATTAAGCGACTTATAGACCGTTGACTCTGATTTCTTTTCTTTTGGATTTGCTTCCTTAGCATCTTTCCGTCTCAGAAGAAACTTATGAACTGTTTAATGTTTTGTAAGGGAGATCACTTAGCTGTTTAGTGTTATAAAATGTGAATAGTTATTTTAGACCTTGTATAAAAAATAATTCATTGACCAATGCTTTTCGTCGGAAAAATAGGTGGGGTTAGGGTGACATGACCGCAGAGTTAAAGTATTACAAACCATTTTTAATTCAGTCCGCTGTAAGAAAAAAGCTTCCAAATTGGATTGTTGATTGTTATCTTCAATCCTGAGGCGCGGATTTTCCGATTGTTTTCTGTTGAAATCGGGAGTGATCGGCGTGTTCTATTTTTAGCGTGGTGTCACAACATTATGTGCCTTGGGGCGGAGGAAACGTTGGTTTGATTTCAAAGATCTTGAGCATCCGGGTTGTGTGTATAAAGATCATTGTGATCAGAGGGACAGGAGCAGAATCAACACACAGATCGCCGTGTCAACACAGCTACTCGTAGTGTGTCACACGTCGTGTTTTACACACTGTTTTCAACACAGCCGTGTAAACACAGTTACTCGTAGTGTGTCACACGTCGTGTTTTACACACTGTTTTCAGCACAGCGAACTGTAGTGTGTTACAGGTCATTCAGACATTGTTTACATTACAGGTAACGTTTAAACTTTTGCGTGCACGCTTGTAACTGGTGACACAGAAATGGTGACACCATGGTTGTATCACCAGCTACTTCTGGCTGTGGCTGGGTCCGTTTGTCTCGGGTTTAACATTGTTTACAAACCTTCCTACCCCCTCCCCGGGCAGTGGAGGGAGGACGAGCTGCGAACAATTCATCGCTTCCTGTCTGGGATTTCCTTCGCCACCAGAGACCGATGTATGGAGGCCATGTGTGACGTCAGACGGGAGGCTGGAGCACCGGACATGGTGGCAGCTAGCCCAAACTTGCCTGACGTCATACCGGAGTCTGCCGAGCACCTGTTTGACCAGAACGGGAAGTTTATCGGGGTCAAAATGACCCGGGACACAAACAGGCCAGTGACCTGGTTCGATCAGGTTAATCAGAACCGTAAGAGTGGGTTTGGTAACTATGGCAACAGTGGTTACGGCTTCGGCAACTATGGCAATAGTGGTTATGGATCTGGTAACTATGGCAACAGTGGTTACGGATCTAGTAACTATGGCAACAGCGGTTACGAAGCAAGTAACTATGGCAACAGTGGTTACGGATCTAGTAACTATGGCAACAGTGGTTACGGATCTAGTAACTATGGCGCCAATGGCTACGCATCTGGTAACTATGGCAACAACCAAAAGCCTGTAACTGAGAACTATGGCGACATTGGTGGTGGGGGTCAAGGGTCAAGCTACAGCAGCCGACCTGGTCTAGTTCCAAACATCTGCTGTCAGACGTGAGTCATATGTTGTTGCATCTTTGTTATATCTCTCTTATATCTTTGTTACATCTTTGTTACATCTTTGTTACATCTTTGTTACATCTTTGTTACATCTTTGTTACATCTTTGTTCATCTTTGTTACATCTTTGTTACATCTTTGTTACATTTTTGTTACATCTTTGTTACACTGCTGCTATATTTTTGTTTGATTTTTGTTTGATTTTTGTTACATTTTTGTTACAACTTTTTAAAATATTTGTTTATATCTGTGTTATATCCCTGTAACATATTTGCTCCATCTGTTACATCTATATTCATAACAATTTTATTACATCGCTGTTACATCTATATTCATAATAATTTTATTACATCGCTGTTACATCTATATTCATAACAATTTTATTATATCGCTGTTACATCTATATTCATAACAATTTTATTACATCGCTGTTACATCTATATTCATAACAATTTTATTACATCGCTGTTACATCTATATTCATAATAATGTTATTACATCGCTGTTACATCTATATTCATAATAATTTTATTACATCGCTGTTACATCTATATTCATAACAATTTTATTACATCGCTGTTACATCTATATTCATAATAATTTTATTACATCGCTGTTACATCTATATTCATAATAATTTTATTACATCGCTGTTACATCTATATTCATAACAATTTTATTACATCGCTGTTACATCTATATTCATAACAATTTTATTACATCGCTGTTACATCTATATTCATAACAATTTTATTACATCGCTGTTACATCTATATTCATAACAATTTTATTACATCGCTGTTACATCTATATTCATAACAATTTTATTACATCGCTGTTACATCTATATTCATAACAATTTTATTACATCGCTGTTACATCTATATTCATAACAATTTTATTACATCGCTGTTACATCTATATTCATAACAATTTTATTACATCGCTGTTACATCTATATTCATAACAATTTTATTACATCGCTGTTACATCTATATTCATAACAATTTTATTACATCGCTGTTACATCTATATATTTATAACAATTTTATTACATCGCTGTTACATCTATATTCATAACAATTTTATTACATCGCTGTTACATCTATATTCATAACAATTTTATTACATCGCTGTTACATATTTCTAACATTTCTATCACTCTGTTATCGTCTCTAGATCTACTTATATAGTCCTATAAGTCCTAAGGTAAAAATACCGGATCGAGTAAAACTTGATTACCTTGCCCCCCCCCCCCCCTTCCCACCTTTCTCTTGCTATAGCGAGGAAGTGTTTTTCGTCAACTCCACACTGACCGATTACTTTGGGGTTAGCCGTACCATCGCTCAGAGGGACACGGCGGGGTCATATCAGTTCATCCGTCACGGTCTCTGCAGGTGAGTGGGTTTAACTTACAGGTGGGCTTGGTTTAACATACAGGTGGGCTAGGTTTAACATACAGGTAGGGCTAGGTTAAACATACAGATGGGATAGGTTTAACATACAGGTGGGCAAGGTTTAACATACAGGTAGGCTAGGTTAAACATACAGATGGCCTAGGTTTAACATACAGGTGGGCTAGGTTTAACACAGGTGGGCTTGGTTTAACATACAAGTATGACTAGTTTTAACACAGGGCTAGTTTTATTTGTCCCTATTTTAAATTTATTCCTGTATCTGTCCTAGTTTAATTCTATGCTGCATCTGCCCCTAGTTTAACCCTCTGCCTGTATCTGCCCCTATTTTAACCCTCTGCCTGTATCTGCCCTTATTTTAACCCTCTGTCTGTATCTGCCCGTATTTTAACCCTCTGCCTGTATCTGCCCCTATTTTAACCCTCTGCCTGTATCTGCCCCTATTTTAACCCTCTGCCTGTATCTGCCCGTATTTTAACCCTCTGCCTGTATCTGCCCGTATTTTAACCCTCTGCCTGTATCTGCCCGTATTTTAACCCTCTGTCTGTGTCTGCTCCTATTTTAACCCTCTGCCTGTATCTGCTCCTATTTTAACCCTCTGCCTGTATCTGCCCGCATTTTAACCCTCTGCCTGTATCTGCCCGTATTTTAACCCTCTGCCTGTATCTGCCCGTATTTTAACCCTCTGCCTGTGTCTGCTCCTATTTTAACCCTCTGCGTGTATCTGCTCCTATTTTAACCCTCTGCCTGTGTCTGCCCCTAGTTTAACCCTCTGCCATTATCTGCCCTTAACCCTCTGCCTGTATCTGCCCTTAACCCTCTGCCTGTATCTGCCCCTAGTTTAACCCTCTGCCTGTATCTGCCCCTAGTTTAACCCTCTGCCTGTATCTGCCCCTAGAAAAACTGGCCAGTGCCCTGGCGACTGCCAGCAAGTTTACGTCAGTCAAGTTCTGGCCATCCACCCCCCAGAGGCCGGTCAGTTGGTCACCTTCAAGTTCTTCAAAGTACCCGGATATTGCGCATGTACATTCAGTTAGTTCCCCTGCTTGTGTAGCAAGTGAATTGATTATCGTTCTTGATTGATGTCTTGTTAAAAATATACACACACGGATCATTGCTTTGTTATCTGGTTGTTTACAGTTTTATTAATCCCACACATAAACCACACAACCACACATGAACCCAACACATCCCACACATAGCCCCATATTAAAAACATGACCCCCATGTATCCCCCTATACTACCACATATGACAACATACTACCACGCATGTTACCCAAGCATGACCAAACGTCCCCCACATACCACATATGTCCCCCACCTAATCACACACGTCCACTCGCACACCCACACTACCACACATGACCATTAGGCATACCCCCATACCCCCATACATGAACCCCACACACACCGACACACCGTACTAAGATGACCTCCACACAAACCACACATATCTTCCACATACCCCCACACTACCACATATATTCCTACCAATTCCACATGTCCACACACGTGACACACATCCCCCACACAATCATCAACCACTACCATACTTCTCCCACCGTCACCCCTCTCCCCACCCCTTCTCCGTCCAACTTTAGTCTCAGCCACGCCCCCCCCCCTCTCCCTACCCCCAGCATAAGTTATGGTTGCTGTTCTGTAAGAAAATAAAATGTCCACCATAGATTTTCGCATGTTTTATTACTGACAAAAGTGAAGTGTAATACATGAATGCTAAAATCTTTCATTTAAAATATCCGAGTATATCAACGATATATTTACACGCTATTGTTACAAGAATATGTAACGTTCTAACATATTTTTTTTTTACAAGAATTTGTAAAACTCTAACAGATTTAGGGTTTTTTAAATAATGTGTAACTTTCTAACAAATGATGTTATATAATCTCAGTTTTTTTCCCCAGGTAACTTTCCAGTACGTTTAGCGTACTCACTTAAATATTAAGCTAGAGTATAATTTAAATTTTTGTTTGCTAGAAAGTTTAAACTATTTTTGTAAACTATTTTATCTACTTAAACATCAATGTTCTATTGTCTTCTGTTTTCGTTAATTATAGTTGCCGGCAACACTACATTTTATTAGAAAGTTACACATTATTTAAAAAACCCTAAATCTGTTAGAGTTTTACAAATTCTTGTAAAAAAAATATATGTTAGAACGTTACATTAGAGACTAGTTTATAGCGACATACATTCACGATGAGAATAAACCACGTAAGAGCGAAAACGGCATCGTCGTGTACAGATACACTCAACATGTTATAGAATTAGCATGAGTAAGTATTGTTAAGAGGACTATTACGTTTAGGTTGACGTCCACGTTGAGTGAAAAGGGGGTGGGGCAGATGGGCAGGAAGAGAAGGGGTGGAAATTCAGATTTTATGCTGGTGTCTTTAATCAACAGGGCTAGTAAAGGGAGAGAACTTAAGTAATTGTTTGTTTTCAATAAAAGTCTCGGTTACCTCCCCTACTCTGTTGCTTACATAATGGAACTGTTTTATTTTATCTTTCAAAAGTTTTGCCACTGCTGTTATATTAAAAATCTTCAAAACATACGTAATTTTTCTGTACAGCTAATGTAAATAAACTTGTTGATTTGATAACAGTTAACCCCTGCAGGAACCAGGGTTTTAACCTGTTTTGTTTCATTAGCTTTCTCACACATCCCACCCCGACCCCTGTCGTAATCCCCAACCCCAGTCCTGACCCCCAACCCTAGTCGTGACCCCAACCCCAGTCCTGACCCCCAATCCTAACCTTGACCCCAACCCTAGTCGTGACCCCAACCCTAATAGTGACCCCAACCCTAGTCGTGACCCCAACCCTAGTCGTGACCCCAAACCTAATAGTGACCCCAACCCTAGTCGTGACCTCAAACCTAATAGTGACCCCAAACCTAATAGTGACCCCAACCCTAGTCGTGACCCCAACCCTAGTCGTGACCCCAAACCTAATAGTGACCCCAACCCTAGTCGTGACCTCAAACCTAATAGTGACCCCAACCCTAGTCGTGACCCCAAACCTAATAGTGACCCCAACCCTAGTCGTGACCTCAAACCTAATAGTGACCCCAAACCTAATAGTGACCCCAACCCTAGTCGTGACCCCAACCCTAGTCGTGACCCCAAACCTAATAGTGACCCCAACCCTAGTCGTGACCTCAAACCTAATAGTGACCCCAACCCTAGTCGTGACCCCAACCCTAGTCGTAACCCCAAACCTAATAGTGACCCCAACCCTAGTCGTGACCCCAAACCTAATAGTGACCCCAACCCTAGTCGTGACCCCAACCCTAGTCGTGACCCCAAACCTAATAGTGACCCCAACCCTAGTCGTGACCCCAACCCTAGTCGTGACCCCAAACCTAATAGTGACCCCAACCCTAGTCGTGACCTCAAACCTAATAGTGACCCCAACCCTAGTCGTGACCCCAACCCTAGTCGTAACCCCAAACCTAATAGTGACCCCAACCCTAGTCGTGACCCCAAACCTAATAGTGACCCCAACCCTAGTCGTGACCCCAACCCTAGTCGTAACCCCAAACCTAATAGTGACCCCAACCCTAGTCGTGACCCCAAACCTAATAGTGACCCCAACCCTAGTCGTGACCCCAACCCTAGTCGTGACCCCAAACCTAATAGTGACCCCAACCCTAGTCGTGACCCCAAACCAAATAGTGACCCCAACCCTAGTCTTGACCCCAAACCAGCTGTGACTACAGAACCAATGCCTAAAAATATTAGGTATATTTAAAACTTTATACTTGAAACTTGATACATGATTCTTTACACTTGAAATGTAATACTTGAAACTTTATACTTAATACTTTATACTTGAAAAGTTTCTTAAAATATAATAAGTTTCTTATTTTATTTTTTAATGAAAATCTTATTCACGCAAAAAAAAATCCAATAGGACTAAAACATCATACATGAAAGTCAGTGGATACAAAAACCATATCTCTTACCCGGAGTAATAATGCATCACATGGGCATAGGTCTTTCATATCAAGTATTGTAGTTCTTATGAATTTCGTCTTCTTTCTTTACTGTAATGCTGGAAAGGGTTTTCTCCAAAACAATTAAGTATTACATGTCAACCTTAATTAAGCGACTGTGATTTCTTTTCATTTGGATTTGCTTCCTTAGCATCTTTCCGTCTCAGAAGAAGCTTATGAACGGTTTAATGCATGCAAGGGAGATCACTTAGCTGTTTAGTGTTATAAAATGTGAAGAGTTATTTTAGACCTTGTATAAAAATACTCATTCATTGACCAATGCTTTTCGTCGGAAAAATAGGTGGGGTTAGGGTGACATAACCACAGAATTAAAGTATTACAAACCATTTTTAATTCAGTCCGCTCTAAGAAAAAAACTTCCAAATTGAATTGTTGATTGTTATCTTCAATCCTGAGGCGCGGATTTTCCGATTGTTTTCTGTTGAAATCGGGAGTGATCGGCATGTTCTATTTATAGCATGGTGTCACAACATTATGTGCCTTGGGGCGGAGGAAACGTTGGTTTGATTTCAAAGATCTGGAGCATCCGGGTTGTGTGTATAAAGATCATTGTGATCAGAGGGACAGGAGCAGAATCAACACACAGATCTCCGTGTCAACACAGCTACTCGTAGTGTGTCACACGTCGTGTTTTACACACTGTTTTCAACACAGCCGTGTAAACACAGTTACTCGTAGTGTGTCACACGTCGTGTTTTACACACTGTTTTCAGCACAGCGAACTGTAGTGTGTTACAGGTCATTCAGACATTGTTTACATTACAGGTAACGTTTAAACTTTTGCGTGCACGCTTGTAACTGGTGACACAGAAATGGTGACACCATGGTTGTATCACCAGCTACTTCTGGCTGTGGCTGGGTCCGTTTGTCTCGGGTTTAACATTGTTTACAAACCTTCCTACCCTCTCCCCGGGCAGTGGAGGGAGGACGAGCTGCGAACAATTCATCGCTTCCTGTCTGGGATTTCCTTCGCCACCAGAGACCGATGTATGGAGGCCATGTGTGACGTCAGACGGGAGGCTGGAGCACCGGACATGGTGGCAGCTAGCCCAAACTTGCCTGACGTCATACCGGAGTCTGCCGAGCACCTGTTTGACCAGAACGGGAAGTTTATCGGGGTCAAGATGACCCGGGACACAAACAGGCCAGTGACCTGGTTCGATCAGGTTAATCAGAACCGTAAGAGTGGGTCTGGTAACTATGGCAACAGTGGTTACGGCTTCGGCAACTATGGCAACAGTGGTTACGGATCTAGTAACTATGGCAACAGTGGTTACGGATCTAGTAACTATGGCAACAGTGGTTACGGATCTAGTAACTATGGCAACAGCGGTTATGGACCTAGTAACTATGGCAACAGTGGTTACGGATCTAGTAACTATGGCGCCAATGGCTACGCATCTGGTAACTATGGCAACAACCAAAAGCCTGTAACTGAGAACTATGGCGACATTGGTGGTGGGGGTCAAGGGTCAAGCTACAGCAGTCGACCTGGGCTAGTTCCAAACATCTGCTGTCAGACGTGAGTCACCTGTTGTTACATCTTTGTTACATCTTTGTTACATCTTTGTTACATCTTTGTTACATCTTTGTTACATCTTTGTTACATCTTTTTTACTTCCTTGTTACATCTTTGTTACATCTTTGTTACATCTTTGTTACATCCTTGTTACATCTTTGTTACATCTTTGTTACATCTTTTTTACTTCTTTGTTACATCTTTGTTACATCTTTGTTACATCCTTGTTACATCTTTGTTACATCTTTGTTACATCATTGTTACATCTTTGTTACATCTTTGTTACATCTTTGTTACATCTTTGTTACTTCCTTGTTACATCTTTGTTACTTCCTTGTTACATCTTTGTTACATCCTTGTTACATCTTTGTTACATCTTTGTTACATCATTGTTACATCTTTGTTACATCTTTGTTACATCTTTATTACATCTTTGTTACATCTTTGTTACACTGCTGCTATATTCTTTTTGTTACATCTTTGTTTCATCTTTGTTACATCTTTTTTACATCTTTTTTACATCTTTGTTACATCTTTGTTACACTGCTGCTATATTTTTGTTTGATTTTTGTTACATCTTTGTTACAACTTGTCAAAATATTTGTTATATCTGTGTTTTATCTCTGTTACATATTTGCTCCATCTGTTACATCTATATTTATAACAATTTTATTACATCGCTGTTACATATTTGCTCCATCTGTTACAGCTATAATTATAACAATTTTATTACATCGCTGTTACAAATTTGTAACATTTCTATTACTCTGTTATCGCCTAGATCTACTTATAAGTTTTATAGTCCTATAAGTCCTAAAGTAAAAATACCGGATCATGTCAAACTTGATTACCTTGCCCCCCCCCTCTCCCCCCCTTCTCTTGCTATAGCGAGGAAGTGTTTTTCGTCAACTCCACACTGACCGATTACTTTGGGGTTAGCCGTACCATCGCTCAGAGGGACACGGCAGGGTCGTATCAGTTCATCCGTCACGGTCTCTGCAGGTGAGTGGGTTTAACTTACAGGTGGGCTTGGTTTAACATACAGGTGGGCTTGGTTTAACACAGGTGGGGCTAGGTTTAACATACAGGTAGGCTAGGTTAAACATACAGATGGCCTAGGTTTAACACAGGTGGGCTTGGTTTAACATACAAGTATGACTAGTTTTAACACAGGGCTAGTTTTATTTGTCCCTATTTTAAATTTATTCCTGTATCTGTCCTAGTTTAATTCTATGCTGCATCTGCCCCTAGTTTAACCCTCTGCCTGTATCTGCCCCTATTTTAACCCTCTGCCTGTATCTGCCCTTATTTTAACCCTCTGTCTGTATCTGCCCGTATTTTAACCCTCTGCCTGTATCTGCCCCTATTTTAACCCTCTGCCTGTATCTGCCCCTATTTTAACCCTCTGCCTGTATCTGCCCGTATTTTAACCCTCTGCCTGTATCTGCCCGTATTTTAACCCTCTGCCTGTATCTGCCCGTATTTTAACCCTCTGCCTGTATCTGCCCGTATTTTAACCCTCTGTCTGTGTCTGCTCCTATTTTAACCCTCTGCCTGTATCTGCTCCTATTTTAACCCTCTGCCTGTATCTGCCCGTATTTTAACCCTCTGCCTGTATCTGCCCGTATTTTAACCCTCTGCCTGTGTCTGCTCCTATTTTAACCCTCTGCCTGTATCTGCTCCTATTTTAACCCTCTGCCTGTGTCTGCCCCTAGTTTAACCCTCTGCCATTATCTGCCCTTAACCCTCTGCCTGTATCTGCCCTTAACCCTCTGCCTGTATCTGTCCCTAGTTTAACCCTCTGCCTGTATCTGCCCCTAGTTTAACCCTCTGCCTGTATCTGCCCCTAGTTTAACCCTCTGCCTGTATCTGCCCCTAGAAAAACTGGCCAGTGCCCTGGCGACTGCCAGCAAGTTTACGTCAGTCAAGTTCTGGCCATCCACCCCCCAGAGGCCGGTCAGTTGGTCACCTTCAAGTTCTTCAAAGTACCCGGATATTGCGCATGTACATTCAGTTAGTTCCCCTGCTTGTGTAGCAAGTGAATTGATTATCGTTCTTGATTGATGTCTTGTTAAAAATATACACACACGGATCATTGCTTTGTTATCTGGTTGTTTACAGTTTTATTAATCCCACACATAAACCACACAACCACACATGAACCCAACACATCCCACACATAGCCCCATATTAAAAACATGACCCCCATGTATCCCCCTATACTACCACATATGACAACATACTACCACGCATGTTACCCAAGCATGACCAAACGTCCCCCACATACCACATATGTCCCCCACCTAATCACACACGTCCACTCGCACACCCACACTACCACACATGACCATTAGGCATACCCCCATACCCCCATACATGAACCCCACACACACCGACACACCGTACTAAGATGACCTCCACACAAACCACACATATCTTCCACATACCCCCACACTACCACATATATTCCTACCAATTCCACATGTCCACACACGTGACACACATCCCCCACACAATCATCAACCACTACCATACTTCTCCCACCGTCACCCCTCTCCCCACCCCTTCTCCGTCCAACTTTAGTCTCAGCCACGCCCCCCCCCCCCCCTCTCCCTACCCCCAGCATAAGTTATGGTTGCTGTTCTGTAAGAAAATAAAATGTCCACCATAGATTTTCGCATGTTTTATTACTGACAAAAGTGAAGTGTAATACATGAATGCTAAAATCTTTCATTTAAAATATCCGAGTATATCAACGATATATTTACACGCTATTGTTACAAGAATATGTAACTTTCAAACATTTTTTTTTCACAAGAATTTGTAAAACTCTAACAGATTTAGTGTTTTTGAAATAATGTGTAACTTTCTAACAAAATGTAGTGTTGCCGGCAACTATAATTAACGAAAACAGAAGACAATAGAACATTGATGTTTAAGTAGATAAAATAGTTTACAAAAATAGTTTAAACTTTCTAGCAAACAAATATTCAAATTATACTCTAGCTTAATATTTAAGTGAGTACGCTAAACGTACTGGAAAGTTACCTGGGGAAAAAAACTGAGATTATATAACATCATTTGTGAGAACGGCTACACGAAATATTTTCTGTTCCAAACTTCGCACTAAAATTCTGCCCCGACTCCGAACTAAATGTCTACAAACTTCAAATATCGCTTGAAGGATTATTGAAGGATTATTGTGTGCTCATCATTACGCATCACGTCACAATCACGTGGTTTCGTTCGTCATCACAAATTAAAATACGACAAAAATACTTACAGAATATTTGGCACTAAATAAACGTTTAGTTTACAAAAAAAATTTTTTTTAAATAATAAGGTAAAATATGTTTCAAGCTCGTTTGCTTTTGTTTGCTATAATTCAGTACCAAGAAAAATTAAATGTTGCCTTAATGCCGTATTACATAAATAAAAAATTCCCATTCAACTGTCTTTAATAAACTGAAAACCGTTTCTTTCAAATCAACTCTCCCATTTAATAAAACAAGTATACCACATATTATGCTTTCCACACTACCAAATATCTTTAATTTTCAGGCCAAAAATAGAAAATATTATAGAAAAAAATATAATACAAATAAAACTCTTCTAAAAATAGTTAATTAAATATTATAGAAAAAAATATAATACAAATAAAACTCTTCTAAAAATAGTTAATTAATTTAGACAAATTTATCTTTTCTACTCTTTAAAATTTTACTAAAATTTAAGCATAATAAACATCTACGTATTTAAAAAATGACATTAACCTTGATTATTTCCTATGTAAAATGTGGATGTAATTTCATTTTTGAACCCATCAACATATAAAGGCACTAGACATTTTTGTCTCAAGAAATCAACAGATTAGAACTGTCTAAACATAAACATAAACTTCAGTCATACATTTTGTATGTTAAATCATTGCCCTAATTCATACATCCGTCTCTTAATTTACCTACATCTCAACTTGTTAGTATATCTAACGTCAGTGACAAGATTTCTGTTCCTCCATGACAAAATAAAAATATAACAAGTAGGTTGTATACAGCAAAAATATTAAATAACAATAAAATCTTGTCGAATATACACAGAGAAAGGGGAGACAAACAGACCATCTAAGATCAGATAACCGGTCTATTCATAACACAGACTAAGAATGTTTGTATTCAGTTCAGTTCTTTCAACTAAACGGCTTTACAGATTCAAGAAAATCTATTAAAATCGGTCAAATTATTCAAATTAACACCTCATTATAGTTACAATGTTTTAAGTCAAACAATTTGTTTTTACAGGATATGTGTAGCTAAAGTTGCTATTTGCATTTGATGTGATTTTTATGTAATGCTAGTTTTATGTGATGTAATTTATATGGAAGTGCTTGTGTTATTTGATGTCATGTATTTGTAAGTTTTTGTGGTATTTGATTTGCATGAAAGTGTGTGTGGTATTCGTTGTGATTTATAAGTAGTGCTAGTTGTAATTTATGTGATTTACATGTACCTTGTAAGAGCTTGTGGAATTTGATGTATATGTAAGTGATTGTGCTATTTTATGTATATGAAAGTACTATTTGTATATAATATGGTGTGATGAATAGGTAAGTGTTTGTGTTATTTGATGTACATGTAAGTGCTATTTGTATATTATATGGTGATGTATATGTAAGTGCTTGTGGTATGTGGTGTGATCTTGTAACTGCTACACCAAACATCCACTGACGACCGGGTGTTTGTTGATTCAATGTTGACTACAAGTTTCAACAAGCAAGGCTAGAACATGCAACATTCGGAGTTCTTCCCTGTTTTATCATTAGTTTACTGTCATTGAAACATAGGCACTGTGTGGGATAGTAACACGACCCCTGGTGTAGGGGTCGCTGTCAGAGCATTGTGTCAGTGCCACTAGGCTGGAGGCATCTCTTGGTGCTCTTCACTGATGAAGAACGAGGCCTTGTTGCTGACGTCATTGAAGCTTCCGTTTCCGTTGAACTTGTGGTAGCTGTTGTCTGCCACGATTGATGAAATCTGGCACAATGTAAACAAACAATAATTAGGTTCAGGATTTAGCTAATTATAACTCATTTTAAATTTAGCTAATTATAACTCATTTTAAAAAACATAAGTAGTCACATATTTTTGAAGATCCAAAGTGATGATCTAATTGAATTCATGTATGTTTTATTGTATATATATATATATATATATATATATATATATATATAGATATAGATATAGATATAGATATAGATATAGATATAGATATAGATATAGATATAGATATAGATATAGATATAGATATAGATATAGATATAGATATAGATATAGATATAGATATAGATATAGATATAGATATAGATATAGATATAGATATAGATATAGATATAGATATAGATATAGATATAGATATAGATATAGATATAGATATAGATATAGATATAGATATAGATATAGATATAGATATAGATATAGATATAGATATAGATATAGATATAGATATAGATATAGATATAGATATAGATATAGATATAGATATAGATATAGATATAGATATAGATATAGATATAGATATAGATATAGATATAGATATAGATATAGATATAGATATAGATATAGATATAGATATAGATATAGATATAGATATAGATATAGATATAGATATAGATATAGCTATAGATATAGATATAGATATAGATATAGATATAGATATATATATAGATATATAGATATATATATATAGATATATATATATATATATATATATATATATATATATATATATATATATATATATATATATATATATATATATATATATATATATATATATATGAGGAATTATTATTTTGCCTTAAACCAAATAAAATTCATTTTGTTAAGCGCAGGAATAATTAGACGTCACAATAATATATCATAATATATATATATATATGACTCGTTGGGTAAGGGTGGTAGATGTCTGACCTTGGAATGGGAGATCTGCTCAAGGTCATCCTTCTTCTCCTCCTTCTTCTTGGAGCGGGTGGGCGGCAGGATGTCGTCCAGGTACTTGAGCTCGTTCTGGGTGTAGCTGACCTCCAAGATCTTCCGCACCACCCCCGTGAACAGGACCTGGGGGGGGGGGGGAGTTACGTCATGTATAACGATTATATCATAAACTACTGTCTAACAAGCTAGTCACGTTTCAAATCTCATGTCTACAAGTTAAAAAATTATCTTAGTTTAATGTAAAAAATAACAAAAAGTTTTTCTTATGATGATGATAGTAGAACAAGGGAAGTACTTTAGCAATCAAACATGGGAGGTAACTAGCTGTACCTACCAGTAGAGGGAAGATAATGGAGATGCTCTTGATACTTTTAACGACCCAGAGGGCGATCAGGCAGATGGTCTGGATGAGGGTGAAGATGTGGACTCGCCACAGTGGCACGTGTCTCAGGTAGATGTGGTCGGGTTGGTACTTGACAGGCATCATCAGCAGCAGGATGCGGTCAATGAACTGGGGGATAGGAGGGGTCAATGAACTGGGGGGATAGGTGGGGTCAATGAACTGGGGGGACAGGTGGGGTCAATGAACTGGGGGATAGGAGGGGTCAATGAACTGGGGGATAGGAGGGGTCAATGAACTGGCGGATAGGTGGGGTCAATGAACTGGGGGATAGGTGGGGTCAATGAACTGGGGGATAGGTGGGGTCAATGAACTGGGGGATAGGAGGGGTCAATGAACTGAGGGGATAGGTGGGGGTCAATGAACTGGGGGGATAGGAGGGGTCAATGAACTGGGGGGATAGGTGGGGTCAATGAACTGGGGGGATAGGAGGGGTCAATGAACTGGGGGGATAGGAGGGGTCAATGAACTGGGGGGATAGGTGGGGTCAATGAACTGGGGGATAGGAGGGGTCAATGAACTGGGGGATAGGAGGGGTCAATGAACTGGGGGATAGGTGGGGTCAATGAACTGGGGGGATAGGAGGGGTCAATGAACTGGGGGGATAGGAGGGGTCAATGAACTGTGGGATAGGTGGGGTCAATGAACTGGGGGATAGGTGGGGTCAATGAACTGGGGGATAGGAGGGGTCAATGAACTGAGGGATAGGAGGGGTCAATGAACTGGGGGGATAGGTGGGGGTCAATGAACTGGGGGGATAGGAGGGGTCAATGAACTGGGGGGATAGGTGGGGTCAATGAACTGGGGGGATAGGAGGGGTCAATGAACTGGGGGGATAGGAGGGGTCAATGAACTGGGGGGATAGGTGGGGTCAATGAACTGGGGGATAGGAGGGGTCAATGAACTGGGGGATAGGAGGGGTCAATGAACTGGGGGATAGGTGGGGTCAATGAACTGGGGGGATAGGAGGGGTCAATGAACTGGGGGATAGGAGGGGTCAATGAACTGGGGGGATAGGTGGGGTCAATGAACTGGGGGGATAGGAGGGGTCAATGAACTGGGGGATAGGTGGGGTCAATGAACTGGGGGATAGGAGGGGTCAATGAACTGGTGAGATAGGTGGGGTCAATTAACTGGGGGATAGGTGGGGTCAATGAACTGGGGGGATAGGAGGGGTCAATGAACTGGGGGATAGGAGGGGTCAATGAACTGGGGGGATATGTGGGTCGGGATCAATGAACTGGGGACATATGTGGGTCGGGGTCAATGAACTGGGGAGATATGTGGGTCGGGGTCAATGAACTGGGGAGATATGTGAGTGGGGGTTAATGAACTGGGGAGATTGGAGGGGTCAATGAACTGTGGTGATATGTGGGTGGGGCTCAATGAACTGGGGAGATAAATGGGTCTGGGGTCAATGAATTGGGGAGATTGGAGGTTTCTGGACAGTGGGACTGAGAACATTTGCTTTAACTAGAGCATCACTGTGTTGACTCATTTCTTGTACCTAGACTACACCTGACCCTGACCCTGCACTCACCTGCATCCCTCTGAGAGCTGAGTACCCCATGTAGAAGAAGACACCGTACAGCACTGGCATCGGAATTACCTGCACACAGGTAATACTTTATCAACACACAGGTAATACTTTATCAACACTCAGGTAAAATCATATCAACACACAGGTGAAATTTTATCAACACACAAAGAAGATCGTATTAACACACACAGGTAGCACTTTATCAACACACATGTAAGATATTATCAACACACGGGTAAGATTGTAAATACACGTTAAAGATTTGATCAAGCGAATCTACTTCACTCACTCCATAAGACCTAATTAAAGAAAGATCTAATTAAAATGGAGGTGAGCATGTCTAAGCACGTGCCGACACTGACCTTGAGGATGTTGGTGATGAAGACGGCAGCTCCTGAGAGAATACCTACAAGCAGGGCTGTCACTCGGTTCTCTCTGTGAAGGTCAAGGTTGTATGATTGGTGTGGTACTCAACAATTCACACACACATGTAACTGACCACCAATTGACACACACACATGTAACTGACCACCAATTGACACAAATAATTGACCACAAATGGAATCGCGCTTTGTTTACTGATGGTACAACATCATTTCAACACAAACAAAGTTCACAGCTGTGGTATGGTGGTGTTTAGCCATATCAGGTGGATGTAGAACACACAGGTGAACTACGATGTGTGTGTCAGTATGGCCATAGGACACTTAAGATGAACGGTCAATCATGACTCATCCGACATCAATGAAGTACGACCTAAAGCATGACTCAATCCGACATCAATGAAGTACGACCTCAAGCATGACTCAATCCGACATCAATGAAGTACGACCTAAAGCATGACTCAGTCCGACATCAATGAAGTACGACCTCAAGCATAACTCAATCCGACATCAATGAAGTACGACCTCAAGCATGACTCAATCCGACATCAATGAAGTACGACCTCAAGCATGACTCATTGGACACCAAGAAAGGACAACCAGCATAACTCACTGACGCGAATGTAAGACTGCCATGACTCTCTTGACGCAAAGAAATGACGGTCTTAAGCATGACTCACCTGACGCCATGAACGGCATGACTCACCTGACGCCATGAACAACATGACTCACCTGACGCCAAAGAAGAACGCCATGACTCACCTGACGCCATGAACGCCATGACTCACCTGACGCCAAAGAAGAACGCCATGACTCACCTGACGCCATGAACGCCATGACTCACCTGACGCCATAAACGCCATGACTCACCTGACGCCATGAACGCCATGACTCACCTGACGCCATGAACGCCATGACTCACCTGACGCCATGAAAGGACGGCCATGACTCACCTGACGCCAAAGAAGAACGGCATGACTCACCTGACGCCATGAACGCCATGACTCACCTGACGCCATGAACGCCATGACTCACCTGACGCCAAAGAAGAACGCCATGACTCACCTGACGCCATGAACGCCATGACTCACCTGACGCCATAAACGCCATGACTCACCTGACGCCATGAACGCCATGACTCACCTGACGCCATGAACGCCATGACTCACCTGACGCCATGAAAGGACGGCCATGACTCACCTGACGCCAAAGAAGAACGGCATGACTCACCTGACTCCAAGAAAGGACGGCCATGACTCACCTGACGCCATGAACGCCATGACTCACCTGACACCAAGAAAGGACGGCCATGACTCACCTGACGCCAAAGAAGAACGGCATGACTCACCTGACGCCAAAGAAGAACGCCATGACTCACCTGACGCCATGAACGCCATGACTCACCTGACGCCAAAGAAGAACGGCATGACTCACCTGACGCCATGAACGCCATGACTCACCTGACGCCATGAACGCCATGACTCACCTGACGCCAAAGAAGAACGCCATGACTCACCTGACGCCAAGGAAAGACGGCCTCTCCCCCGGGGCTGTGCTCTCAGACTGTTTCTTCAAGGAGTTGATGTGGGCGATGGCTGAGACGGTGGCCGCGACGTACCAGGGCAGGCCCAGCAGAGAGTGGATGGCCACTAGGATGGCTAGCACTAGTAGGTCCAGGTGGTAGCCTTTACCTTTCTGTAACGTATGGAAGAGTGTCAGTCGTGTTAAACTCAGGAGGGTTGTCAGGTTAAACTCAGAAGGGTTGTCAGTCGTGTTAAACTCAGGAGGGTTGTCAGGTTAAATTTAGAAGGATTGTCACTCGTGTTAAACTCAGAAGGGTTGTCGTATTAAACTCAGAAGGGTTGTCGTATTAAACTCAGAAGGATTGTCAGGTTAAACTCAGAAGGGTTGTCAGGTTAAACTCAGAAGGGTTGTCTTAATTTAACTATACATTTTAAAAATAATAAACAAATTGATAAACTGTTAAAACAAAGCAACCAAGCAAATTTTAAAAAATATGAATAAAGTTAGTCTTAGTAGACCTATTTGATAAAGCTATTAGTTTTATAATTAAGTATAACTCAAAGCACAATTCTATCATGTACAGACTGTAAATAATAGACATAATGTCGTATATAAAGTTTAAAATATGTGTTTTATATCATAATAATTATTTGTTTTTCTTTTTGGTTTATTAATATTAGGTATTTTAAGTATTTCTAAATATTTTGTAAACAAAATAATTGAGTTGTGTCCCTTGGATTTGGATAAATTTGGTAATATTAATGATTACAACAATTTCAGTTGATATCTTTTAATAAGACAATATGTTTAATGTATGGGTCGGCAACCTTTTGATACGCAAGAGCCAAAAAGTTACAATTTACAAACTTTCCCAGTTTTTAAAGAGCCACAACATTTTTGGTTCAATATTCGGTATTTGATAAGGATTATGTAAATAAAGTTGATTTGTTATTTAAAATAAATAGCTTTAAATGTGAAATAATATTTATTCATATAAAAACATAGACAAGTTTCGCCAGAATAGTAAAAAATTTTCTTTACGGATATCACCGGCTCAGGAGGGGTCTCCCATTAGCCAGTCAGGCCTCAACACGGCAAACACCGACTAACTGGCTTGAATATCGGTTTGAATAACTTGCATCGTTCGCTTCTATCCTTTGGTTCTCGCCAGGCTTATCTTCCATCCCACTGAACGCAGAGTAAAATCGTACCCTATACTATAACTATTAATATTTGTGCAAGGAGCTGGAGAGCCGCATCTGTACGTCAAAAGAGCCGCATGCGGCAGCTCGCGAGCCGCCGGTTGCCGACCCCTGGTCTAATAAAGAATTCAATAGCATATTAGTCTCAGGATGTTCAATATTATAATTATATAAATATCTATTCAGTGGAGAGGCCTGACATACACATAAATATATTTTAAATCTTATATAATGTGTGGGAAGATGTTCAATTAGAATGGCTTCAACTTGACTTACAGATACTAGCTAAATAGCTGGCCATTATACCGACAGATTACAACCATGAAGGATTAAACTTAACATAATAATAGACATTGGCCATAGCACCATGCCATTCCAGATCGAACTAAATCTTACTCTGGTGGTATTGAATACGATATTGAAACAGTGCCTAACATTTTGCTTAGAAAAATACATTTAATCTAAAACTTACAAGAATATAAATTAACACATGTGTCACCACTTATCTGCCTCACCATTTGTGTCACCACTCAACACATGTCTCACCACCTGTCTCACCACTCAACACATGTCTCACCACCTGTGTCACCACTCACCACCTGTCTCACCACCTGTGTCACCAGTCGACACCTGTCTCACCACCTGTTTCACCACCTGTCTCACCACTCACCACCTGTCTCACCACCTGTCTAACCACTCACCACTAGTTTGTTCTCCCTACGGTTGACTATAACTGCGGTGATCTGCTGGTCCATGAAGATCAAAATGGTGGCCAATATGGCTGGAAGGCCAGCTGCAATTGCCAACCACCAGGGGTTGGGGCCACCTATCGGGTTGACAACCCAACCACGGGCGTAATATTTTGTCGGCTGAAAGTTGCAAAACAAAAGATGTGCCAAACAAAAGTTGTATCAAAACAAAAGTTGTATCTAATTTTCTACTATGTGCAGCTAAATCAGTTATTGTTAAGAGTTGCATCTAAAATATGAACTACGTAAATTTTTTGTTATAGCTATGAAATACTTTTTTAACCTTTTATAAGATACAAGCTATAGGCTATAGGAATACAAGAATACGCAATTATATTTTGTACCAGGTTTTTCTACACAAAGGCTTTAATAGAGAACCAGTACAGGGTCAAATACACTGACCTTGAACTCGCTGGGTACAATCAGCTTGGGTGTCGGGAGCCCCAGGGCGGCGTCCACACCCACCATGGACAAGATGGCGATCAGCACGGAAAAGTCGCCCAGGATGTTGCGGATCTGAAACACGAAAAGTCGCCGTCACAGTTAACTTGGTTAACTAAACTTGATTCAGTTTTACTCTCACCAATGTACGCTAACAGTACAAAATTAAGTGTAATTAAACCAATAGACAGTTCTGTTTCCTATATCTAGTTGATCAACAGGTATATTTTAGTTTAAAGCTAATCAATCAACACATACACACTAGCTTAAATCTAACCAATCCACACGTACATACTAGTTTAAATCTAACCAATTAACACGTACATACTAGTTTAAATCTAACCAATCAACACGTACATACTAGTTTAAATTTAACCAATCAACACACACAGGCCAGTTTAAATTTAGCCTATTAACGCACGCTCCCAGGTTTAAATCTAACCAATCAGCACACGCCCTTAAGTTCAAATCAAACCAATCAGCACACGCCCTTAAGTTCAAACCAAACCAATCAACACTCACGAAAGACGGGAAACACGGCCAGTTCCTGAAGTCGACAAGGAAGATGGCGATGAAGAACGTGCAAGCGAAGATGATGCAGGAGAACATGAAGGCGTCGGGCACGAAGTAGAGGGGTTTGCAGGCCCAGGCTAGCGACCCCTCCAGGGTGGCGTTGGCCGTCTCTGACGCCTTCATGGCGCAGAACGTTTCGTTCAGTGCCTTGAACGTCTCGTTGGCCAGTGGTAGTGGCGTCATGGAACTGTTCCAACCGGCAGCTGCAGGACAGAGGTAGACAGGTTAGGTTAGTGGTAGTGGTAGTGGTAGTGGTAGTGGCGTCATGGAACTGTTCCAACCGGCAGCTGCAGGACAGAGGTAGACAGGTTAGGTTAGTGGTAGTGGTAGTGGTAGTGGTAGTGGTAGTGGTATTGGTAGTGGTAGTGGTAGTGGCGTCATGGAACTGTTCCATCCAGCAGCTACAGGACAGAGATAGACAGGTTAGGTTAGTGGTAGTGGTAGTGGTAGTGGTAGTGGCGTCATGGAACTGTTCCAACCGGCAGCTACAGGACAGAGATAGACAGGTTAGGTTAGTGGTAGTGGTAGTGGTAGTGGTAGTGGTAGTGGTAGTGGTAGTGGCGTCATGGAACTGTTCTAGTCAGTATCTACAGGACAGAGGTGGAAAGGTTAGGTTTAGAGGGTTAGTTGACTAAAGATAAGTAGCGACACGTCTAATTTGATGGTTAGGTTAGGGGGAGGGGACTGAAGCAAAGTGGTCACACGTCTAACTTGCAGGTCTAACTTGATGGTTAGGGTTAGAGGATTATGCCAGTATGCTACACATCTAACTGAATGGTTAGGTCAGAACTGAGGCGTTTAATGCAATCATTGTTGCCATAGTCCGCCCAACTCTGAAGTGTAGGGAAACAAAGGTGGCTGGTTATAGTTCTGACTACATTATCCCATTGTATGTCGCAGATGAACTCTACTTCATCTGCCCATTTGACTTGAGCACAAACAGGAAAAGATGTTGATGAGTGTTGTCCTGAGGAGTCCAGTAATTTGATCTTGTCAAACTAAACTGTTCAGCCTCTTAAGAAACTGTTTCACTCTACCTTTGTCAACATAAGGTGTTAAAATAATGAAATCTTTAGGCGAATACAGCCTAATAAATAAAGCTGATACAAGCTATAAATAAAATGTGTTGGTTAGAAGTCAGGCAGCCTTGAGTACTGGTCTCTCCTGATCCAAAACGTAATTAAAACATTGATTGGCCTCTCCTGATCCTAAACTTAAATAAAACATTGAATCAATGACAATAAACATGACAATATTCGCCCTGACGTGAAAAGTTTTTCGGAAAAATGTCTGCTTTTATTTGATTGTTAAGACTTAACATATTTTAACAGCATTGAACACACGCTGAGTACCGGTGATAAATTGAACATTGCTGTATTGTGTTATCTGGGGGGGGGGGGGGGGGGCGGTCGACACGTTGCTATTGATTGGTTGATCAAACCGGGGGAGTTAATAGGCTGATAACAAGGCTGGCACGAGTCAAAATGACCAAATCGTAAATAAATGGAGTCATTTACAGCTTAGGAAGAAAACTATCGTCTGTTTGTGGCTTGAATTAGAGGCTGTGGTTTACAGGTGTGGTTTACAGATGTGGTTTACATGTGTGGTTTACAGATGTGGTTTACAGATGTGGTTAACAGGTGTGGTTTACATGTGTGGTTTACATGTGTGGTTTACAGATGTGGTTTACGGGTGTGGTTTACATGTGTGGTTTACGGGTGTGGTTTACATGTGTGGTTTACATGTGTGGTTTACATATGTGGTTTACGGGTGTGGTTTACATGTGTGGTTTACGGGTGTGGTTTACGGGTGTGGTTTACGGGTGTGGTTTACATGTGTGGTTTACATATGTGGTTTACGGGTGTGGTTTACATGTGTGGTTTACATGTGTGGTTTACAGATGTGGTTTACGGGTGTGGTTTACGGGTGTGGTTTACATGTGTGGTTTACGGGTGTGGTTTACATGTGTGGTTTACGGGTGTGGTTTACGGGTGTGGTTTACATGTGTGGTTTACGGGTGTGGTTTACATGTGTGGTTTACGGGTGTGGTTTACGGGTGTGGTTTACATGTGTGGTTTACATATGTGGTTTACGGGTGTGGTTTACATGTGTGGTTTACATGTGTGGTTTACAGATGTGGTTTACGGGTGTGGTTTACATGTGTGGTTTACATGTGTGGTTTACAGATGTGGTTTACGGGTGTGGTTTACATGTGTGGTTTACGGGTGTGGTTTACATGTGTGGTTTACGGGTGTGGTTTACATGTGTGGTTTACGGGTGTGGTTTACATGTGTGGTTTACGGGTGTGGTTTACGGGTGTGGTTTACATGTGTGGTTTACATATGTGGTTTACGGGTGTGGTTTAGATGTGTGGTTTACGGGTGTGGTTTACATGTGTGGTTTACGGGTGTGGTTTACATGTGTGGTTTACGGGTGTGGTTTACATGTGTGGTTTACGGGTGTGGTTTACATGTGTGGTTTACGGGTGTGGTTTACGGGTGTGGTTTACATGTGTGGTTTACGGGTGTGGTTTACATGTGTGGTTTACGGGTGTGGTTTACATGTGTGGTTTACGGGTGTGGTTTAGATGTGTGGTTTACGGGTGTGGTTTACATGTGTGGTTTACGGGTGTGGTTTACATGTGTGGTTTACGGGTGTGGTTTACGGGTGTGGTTTACATGTGTGGTTTACGGGTGTGGTTTACATGTGTGGTTTACGGGTGTGGTTTACGGGTGTGGTTTACGGGTGTGGTTTACATGTGTGGTTTACGGGTGTGGTTTACATGTGTGGTTTACGGGTGTGGTTTACATGTGTGGTTTACGGGTGTGGTTTACATGTGTGGTTTACGGGTGTGGTTTACATGTGTGGTTTACGGGTGTGGTTTACGGGTGTGGTTTACATGTGTGGTTTACATATGTGGTTTACGGGTGTGGTTTACATGTGTGGTTTACGGGTGTGGTTTACATGTGTGGTTTACGGGTGTGGTTTACATGTGTTGTTTACGGGTGTGGTTTACATGTGTGGTTTACGGGTGTGGTTTACATGTGTGGTTTACGGGTGTGGTTTACATGTGTGGTTTACGGGTGTGGTTTACATGTGTGGTTTACGGGTGTGGTTTACATGTGTGGTTTACGGGTGTGGTTTACATGTGTGGTTTACGGGTGTGGTTTACGGGTGTGGTTTACATGTGTGGTTTACATATGTGGTTTACGGATGTGGTTTAGAGATGTGGTTTACAGATGTAGTTTACGGATGTGGTTTACATATGTGGTTTACAGATGTGGTTTACAGATGTGGTTTACGGATGTGGTTTATAGATGTGATTTACAGATGTGGTTTACACGTGTGGTTTACACGTGTGGTTTACGGATGTGGTTTGCAGGTGTGGTTTACTGCCATTTATAGCATCAGAGATTTCAGATTTAGGAAAAGGTTAAAGGTTAACTTAGGTATCACACTGTCTTGTTTATATGTGTGTCATGGAGATGTCACGTGGTGGGAGATGACACGTGACGTTTGTTGTTTTTATTTTTGTTAATTTGGTAATCGTTTCAGTTCTGTTGGCAGGAAGGTATAAACCTTTGATACTAAGTTAGTGCACACCAAAAGGTTAACAGCAGACGACAGACTTACGTGGTGTGTAGTTACAGAAACAGTGAGGTTTTTCTGGCCATGGTGGAGGGTGGAGCCGCACAGGATTTTCTATTTCAGCAATGTCCGCCATTTTCTTGAAGGCCTCGTAGATGAAGATGAGCGCAATCAATGAAGCGAAACTCTCCTCAGTGAAGCGTGTGATGTACCTGACCAGCGCGCTCAAGTCAAAGGCCACCATCAACAGCAACATGCCGGCCGTCCAAATACCGATCCAGAACCGGAAGGGCAAGAAATCCCATTGGTTGTCCCTGTATAAGGTCAAGGTCGTGTATTGCGTCATGGAGAAATCAACCAATCCCGAATCGACCAATTATGATAAACAAAACAAATATCCTATTAAAGACAGAAGTTTTCTATAACAATTTTTTAATGTTCTTCTAAGGTATTAAGTAATTTCAAAATAGAAGTCAAAGCCCATAAATGGTGGGATATGTATTTATGTGTAGTTGTAGATGAGGGATTTCTTATCTACATAAAGTGTAGGTGTAAGAGAGGGATTTCTTACCTACAGGTGTAAGTGTAGGGGAGGAACTACTTACCTACAGAAGGTGTAAGTGTAAGGGATGAACTACTTACCTACAGAAGGTGTAAGTGTAAGGGAGTGGTTACTTATCTACAGAAGGTGTAAGTGTAAGGGAGTGGTTACTTACCTACAGAAAGTGTAAGTTTAGGGGATGAACTACTTACCTACAGAAGGTGTAAGTGTAAGAGAGTGGTTACTTACCTACAGAAGGTGTAAGTGTAAGGGGTGGTTACTCACCTACAGAAGGTGTAAGTGTAAGGGAGTGGTTACTTACCTACAGAAGGTTTAAGTGTAAGGGAATGAATTACTTACCTACAGAAGGTGTAAGTGTAAGGGAATGAATTACTTACCTACAGAAGGTGTAAGTGTAATGGGAGTGATTACTTACCTACAGAAGGTGTAAGTGTAAGGGAGTGATTACTTACCTACAGAAGGTGTAAGTGTAAGGGAGTGATTACTTACCTACAGACGGTGTAAGTGTAAGAGAGTGATTACATACCTACAGAAGGTGTAAGTGTAAGGGAGTGATTACTTACCTACAGAAGGCGTAAGTGTAAGGGAGTGATTACTTACCTACAGAAGGTGTAAGTGTAAGGGAGGGATTACTTACCTACAGAAGGTGTAAGTGTAAGGGAGTGATTACTTACCTACAGAAGGTGTAAGTGTAAGGGAGGAACTACTTACCTACAGAAGGTGTAAGTGTAAGGGAATGATTACTTACCTACAGAAGGTGTAAGTGTAAGGGAGTGATTACTTACCTACAGAAGGCGTAAGTGTAAGGGAGTGATTACTTACCTACAGAAGGTGTAAGTGTAAGGGAGGGATTACTTACCTACAGAAGGTGTAAGTGTAAGGGAGTGATTACTTACCTACAGAAGGTGTAAGTGTAAGGGAGGAACTACTTACCTACAGAAGGTGTAAGTGTAAGGAAGGAACTACTTACCTACAGAAGGTGTAAGTGTAAGGAAGGAACTACTTACCTACAGAAGGTGTAAGTGTAGGGGAGTGACAACTCACCTACAGGTGTAAGTGTAAGGGAGTGATTACATACCTACAGAAGGTGTAGATGATTTTCTCCAGCACCAACATGGGACCTGTGCTGCCCAGGATGTTGAGAGGCTGACCACTGAAGAGGGCGAAGATAATACCTGACACGGCCGCGGCAAGAATACACTCCATTACACCCTGAAATATGAGGTGAGATAATACACTCCATGACACCCTGAAATATGAGGTGAGATAATACACTCCATTACACCCTGAAATATGAGGTGAGATAATACACTCCATCACACCCTGAAATATGAGGTGAGATAATACACTCCATGACACCCTGAAATATGAGGTGAGATAATACACTCCATCACACCCTGAAATAGGAGGGGAGATAATACACTCCATGACACCCTGAAATATGAGGTGAGATAATACACTCCATCACACCCTGAAATAGGAGGGGAGATAATACACTCCATAACACTCTGAAATAGGAGGTGAGATAATACACTCCATGACACCCTGAAATATGAGGTGAGATAATACACTCCATCACACCCTGAAATATGAGGTGAGATAATACACTCCATCACACCCTGAAATATGAGGTGAGTTAATACACTCCATCACACCCTGAAATATGAGGTGAGATCATACACTCCAGCACACCCTGAAATAGGAGGTGAGATAATACACTCCATGACACCCTGAAATAGGAGGTGAGATAATACACTCCATGACACCCTGAAATAGGAGGTGAGATAATACACTCCATAACACCCTGAAATATGAGGTAAGATAATACACTCCATAACACCCTGAAATATGAGGTAAGATAATACACTCCATAACACCCTGAAATAGGAGGTGAGATAATACACTCCATAACACACTGAAATATGAGGTAAGATAATACACTCCATAACACCCTGAAATATGAGGTAAGATAATACACTCCATAACACCCTGAAATAGGAGGTGAGATAATACACTTCATAACACCCTGAAATATGAGGTGAGATAATACACTCCATAACACTCTGAAATAGGAGGTGAGATAATACACTCCAGCACACCCTGAAATAGGAGGTGAGATAATACACTCCATAACACCCTGAAATATGAGGTGAGATAATACACTCCATAACACCCTGAAATAGGAGGTGAGATAATACACTCCATCACACCCTGAAATATGAGGTGAGATAATACACTACATCACACCCTGAAATATGAGGTGAGTTAATACACTCCATCACACCCTGAAATATGAGGTGAGATAATACACTCCATCACACCCTGAAATATGAGGTGAGATAATACACTCCATCACACCCTGAAATATGATGTGAGATAATACACTCCATCACACCCTGAAATATGAGGTGAGATAATACACTCCATCACACCCTGAAATATGAGGTGAGATAATACACTCCATCACACCCTGAAATATGAGGTGAGATAATACACTCCATAACACCCTGAAATATGAGGTGAGTTAATACACTCCATCACACCCTGAAATATGAGGTGAGTTAATACACTCCATCACACCCTGAAATAGGAGGTGAGATAATACACTCCATAACACCCTGAAATATGAGGTGAGATAATACCTCCATAAAACCCTGAAATATGAGGTGAGATAATACACTCCATCGCACCCTGAAATATGAGGAGAGATAATACACTCCATCGCACCCTGAAATAGGAGGTGAGATAATACACCCCATAACACCCTGAAATATTAGTTCAGATAATACACTCCATAACACCCTGAAAAATGACCACAGACGGGTTCGTGTTACCTAGTTGATAGTAATCGTATGGGTATTTGGTCAGTCTTGGGAAGATGTCTACAGACCAAATGGTGGATAGCGACCTTAAGACGGATACATTTGCGACAAAAATGAAAAGAATTGTTGAATTTAGCAGTTTGCTAACAATTTTTCCATTTTTCTGTTTGAGTTATCCAGGTAAGTAAGGTATGAATAACTGTTATCTGCTATATACGATTTGAGGAACAAATGTCATCCCGATTGTACGTTTAATAAGTGAGATCCACTACATATTGTTTCGTAGCCAATTTTTTTTTTCAAAAATTAAAAATATGCTCATTGGTAAGTATGAATGCAATCTTGAACTTAATAATACATTTATTCTTGTACAAACGAATTACTTAAAATATTTTTGGTTTTCTATTTTAAAATAGATTCTAATTACCATTCTAAAAGTTCTTAATCACAAAGGTTAGACAAGCAGACTTAAAAGCATTTAATATTTGTAATGTGTTAAATAAATTTACAATTACATGTATATTTATATTTAATGCTACTGAATCTACCCGTTTTTAAAGATTTTATACAACCTTAAATATAAGTTGTATCCCTTGAATTTTTAAATCTTTTCAATGGGAAGTAACTAGCTAAATTTTAATATTCAGTGTAAATCTATTTTTAATCATTGCAATGTGTTTATAGCATAGTTTTTTAAAAAGAAATTTAATAAATTATTAGGTTGATTATCGAATATTACAATATATGTAAACATGTATTTTATTATTTCTTGATATTTTTTGTTATATATTATAATTCTAGCTTTCACGTGTTCCCTTGCACGTGCCGTGGCTATTGAAGATCTGACCTATAAACGATTAGTAACACTCGCCTCCTTAGGTGAGGAACACTCGCCTCCCAGGTGTACGAGCCTTACAGTTTGGAAACAGCTGGTTGAATGGTAGAGCGTTCGACCGCTAACGCGAAAGTCTCGAGTTCTAGTCCAGTGCTCGAGTCCGTTGGGTTCCTCAGTCCAGCCAGCTCTGATTTGTGCCCGGCTCACGTTAGGGAAAGTACAGGAACATGGTCATAGTGCTTGACAACATAACCCTTCATATGTCAAGGTCACTGAAACAGATGAACTCTACTTCACCTGCCACTGTGACCTTACTGTTCAAAAGGGTTTCTTTCTTCATTTAAAAAACTTCGATGTGTGAAGTAGGTCTATAGGTAATGAGACAGAATCTGTCAAACCTAGACGATAAAAAAATTATCGTTACCATGTACTGGTCTGTTTCCTGTCCCAGCATGCCGCCGAAGGTGACGTTTGGCGTCAGGGTGGCCAGGAAGATGTAGACAAAAGATGCCAGACATTGGATGTGGATGGCGTCGGTGTAGTCGCTGACGTAATGGGGCAGCTTACGCTTGATGTCATTCCATAGGCCACCAAATGGACTGGGGATGACAGGTGACATTTGGGTTGGTGGTGGTAGGGTTGGTGGTGGTGGTGGTGGTAGGGTTGGTGGTGGTGGTGGTAGGGTTAGGGGTGGTGGTGGTGGTGGTAGGGTTAGGGGTGGTGGTGGTGGTGGTAGGGTTGGTGGTGGTGGTGGTGGTAGGGTTGGTGGTGGTGGTGGTGGTGGTGGTAGGGTTGGTGGTGGTGGTGGTAGGGTTAGGGGTGGTGGTGGTGGTGGTAGGGTTAGGGGTGGTGGTGGTGGTAGGGTTAGGGGTGGTGGTGGTGTTAGGGTTAGGGGTGGTGGTGGTAGGGTTGGTGGTGGTGGTGGTAAGTTGGTGGTGGTAGGGTTGATGGTGGTAGGGTTGGTGGTGGTAGGTTTGGTTGTGGTGGTGGTAGGGTTGGTGGTGGTGAGGTTGGTGGTGGTAGGTTTGGTTGTGGTGGTGGTAGGGTTGGTGGTGGTGGTAGGGTTGGTGGTGGTGAGGTTGGTGGTGGTAGGTTTGGTTGTGGTGGTGGTAGGGTTGGTGGTGGTGGTAGGGTTGGTGGTGGTAGGTTGGTGGTGGTGGGGTTGGTGGTGGTGGTGGTAGAGTTGGTGGTCGTAGGGTTGGTGGTGGTTGGTTGGTGGTGGTGGTGGTAGGGTTCGTGGTGGTGGTAGGGGTGGTGGGGTTAGTTGTTGTAAGGTTGAAAGTGGTGGTAGGGTTGGTGGTGATGGGGTTGGTTGTTGTAGGTTTGGTGGTGGTAGTGGTGGTAGTGGTGGTAGTGGTGGTAGTGGTGGTGTTGGTGGTAATTGGTAAAATTGGTGATTAAGGATGGTTAGAGTTTGTACCTTTCGCTCTAAGTCGTAGAGCAAACGTCTACGGCTGAATGTCTCGAAAGGTTTTTATGTCTGGCCGCTGTGTAACACGGCCACGAACTCGGTGGCCGTGTCCCTAACTTGGCCATCGTGTCCCTAACTTGGCCATCGTGTCCCTAACTTGGCCATCGTGTCCCTAACTTGGCCATCGTGTCCCTAACTTGGCCATCGTGTCCCTAACTTGGCCATCGTGTCCCTTACTTGGCCATCGTGTCCCTAACTTGGCCATTATGTCCACAACCAACCACTCACGTAACAACCACTCTACAACCAACCACTCAAGTGACAACCACTCTACAACCAACCACTCACGTAACAACCACTCTACAACTAACCACTCAAGTGACAACCACTCTACATCCAACCACTCACGTGACAACCACTCTATAACTGGCCACTCACGTAACAACCAGTCTACAACCAACCACTTACGTGACAACCACTCTACAACCAGCCACCGACGTGACAACCAGCCTACAACCAACCACTCACGTAACAACCATTTTACAACCATTCTACAACCAACCACTTACGTGACAACCACTCTACAACCAACCACTCACGTAACAACCACTCTACAACCAACCACTCAAGTGACAACCACTCTACAACTAACCACTCACGTAACAACCACTCTACAACCAACCACTCACGTGACAACCACTCTACAACCAACCACTGACGTGACAACCACTCTACAACTAACCACTCACGTAACAACCACTCTACAACCAACCACTCAAGTGACAACCACTCTACAACCAACCACTCACGTGACAACCAGTCTACAACCAACCACTTACGTGACAACCATTCTACAACCAACCACTCACGTAACAACCACTCTACAACCAACCACTCACGTGACAACCACTCTACAACCAACCACTTACGTGACAACCATTTTACAACCAGTCTACAACCAACCACTTACGTGACAACCACTCTACAACTAACCACTCACGTGACAACCACTCTACAACCAACCACTGACGTGACAACCACTCTACAACCAACCACTGACGTGACAACCACTCTACAACCAACCACTTACGTGACAACCATTTTACAACCATTCTACAACCAACCACTTACGTGACAACCACTCTACAACCAACCACTTACGTGACAACCACTCTACAACCAACCACTTACGTGACAACCATTTTACAACCATTCTACAACCAACCACTTACGTGACAACCACTCTACAACCAACCACTTACGTGACAACCATTTTACAACCATTCTACAACCAACCACTTACGTGACAACCAGTCTACAACCAACCACTTACGTGACAACCATTCTACAACCAACCACTCACGTAACAACCACTCTACAACTTACCGTCCACTTATCACCAGGTCAGGATCCACGTGACTCTCCTCCTCATGACCCCCACCCCCTGAATGTCCGGCAAGTTGAGCTTTTGATGGAATCTTCCGGAATTTCTGCGAAACATCACAAGCATTCTAAACGTGTGACTACAAACAGGTTTTAAATAGACTTATTTTTTTGTCCGGCGGTGCTATATATATTTGTAGAAGCGTGTGGTGGTAGACTTGACCACTAAAGTTGGTGTCTACTATACCTGGTCTGGAACTTTGTCTGGTGGTTCTATCCTGATCTTAGGGTCCCACTCCCCCGGGGGTAGCACGGTCAGCTGTTCCAGGAACTCGTCTATGCCGGCCACAAGGTCGTCAACATCTCTGGCTTTGTAAGCCACCTCACGGAATACCTGCCGTCATAACATACAGGTGTAAGTCACGGAATACCTGCCGTCATACAGGTGTAAGTCACGGAATACCTGCCTTCAAGGTGTAAGTCACGGAATACCTGCCGTCATTACAGGTGTAAGTCACGGAATACCTGCCGTCATAACATACAGGTGTAAGTCACAGAATACCTGGCGTCATAACATACAGGTGTAAGTCACAGAATACCTGGCGTCATAACATACAGGTGTAAGTCACGGAATACCTGCCGTCATAACATACAGGTGTAAGTCACGGAATACCTGCCGTCATAACATACAGGTGTAAGTCACGGAATACCTGCCGTCATAACATACAGGTGTAAGTCACGGAATACCTGCCGTCACACAGGTGTAAGTCACGGAATACCTGGCGTCATAACATACAGGTGTAAGTCATGGAATACCTGCCGTCAGAACATACAGGTGAGTGTAAGTCACGGAATACCTGCCGTCATACAGGTGTAAGTCACGGAATACCTGCCGTCATAACATACAGGTGTAAGTCACGGAATACCTGCAGTCATACAGGTGTAAGTCACGGAATACCTGCCGTCATAACATACAGGTGTACGTCACGGAATACCTGCCGTCATACAGGTGTAAGTCACGGAATACCTGCCGTCATAACATACAGGTGTAAGTCACGGAATACCTGCAGTCATACAGGTGTAAGTCACGGAATACCTGCCGTCATAACATACAGGTGAGTGTAAGTCACGGAATACCTGCCGTCATACAGGTGTAAGTCACGGAATACCTGCCGTCATAACATACAGGTGTAAGTCACGGAATACCTGCAGTCATACAGGTGTAAGTCACGGAATACCTGCCGTCATAACATACAGGTGTACGTCACGGAATACCTGCCGTCATACAGGTGTAAGTCACGGAATACCTGCCGTCATACAGGTGTAGTCACGGAATACCTGCCGTCAGAACATACAGGTGAGTGTAAGTCACGGAATACCTGCCGTCATACAGGTGTAAGTCACGGAATACCTGCCGTCATAACATACAGGTGAGTGTGTTCTGTTATAGTTGAATGTTCAATTCTAGCTAAACCAGAGACGTATGACCAGTTTCAGTTAACTAGTCACGTGACTGGTGTACAAAAGATAACTTTTGTAAAACGAGTAAAACTTGACTGTTCATGTACTTAAAATGACTTGTTTGACAAAGAATATTTTGGTCTGTACATATCATTAAAATAAGAAACTGCAAGATCAAATAAGTTAAATTTAAATTAGGGGTGTGGAAAGAGATAATGTAGAAGAGCGAGATAACGAACCTCATCAACAAACATGGTGGACAGGCACCGCCCACTCTCCTGGTTGTCCTGGAGACTTCCCTTAGGTCCCAGCAGGAGGAAGACGAATCTGGGAGGAACAAACAAGATGGTTTACAGAATTGTCACGTGATTGTTGTCACGTGTTTATGTATTGATGCAAGAAAGTTGTGTTTGAATGAGTTTTATTAATACGTTTGTCAGCAGTTTGTTAACTGTTTAATAACGTTTCATATTTTATTACTTGACCAATCAGACCACATGTTAATAAATGAATCCGGTCTAATTTAAAAGTTTTAAATGTATAGCGAATTGGCGTGTGCAAGCTTTAGATTAGATATTATTAGCTATACCACTAATAAGAACGTTGTGTTTTTTTGTATGGATATACCACACAATATATATTATACACCATATATACCACATATACCATATGTATTACATATAATACATATTCCAAATATATCCCATAATATACTATATACATCACATATACCACCTAATATAGCACATACAACAAATACCACATAATATACCATATATACCATATATACCCCATATACCAAAAGGCACAGACGGACATATAGCGAATCAACACAACAATTGTGTCAGAAGTGTGTGAACCAGTTGTTTTAAAATGCTGGTGAGTAACTATACCCCAGGGGCACTCATCACATTACTAATTAACTCAGGTCAACCGGTCCTAGATGCTAGACAAATGCCAGCTGCCATTTCTACAGGCAACGTTAGCGGTTAAAATATTTTTTGAGGAGATTTGTGTTGGGACTTCATTTTATGTGCGATCATCATGTGCTGTTTTCTAAACAGCTAATGAGATAACCGATGGTATCTCTAAATTTAACAATATTTTATGTAAAGTATTAAAGTTTCCCTTCCAAGCCTGATGGTCTATGGGGCAAGTGAAGTAAAGTTCACCTGTTTCTGTGACCTCGATATATGAAGGTATAGTGTGGTCAGCACTATGCCCAGCCGTCTTTACTTGCCCTAGCGTGTTAGGTACCCATTAGAGCTAGGTTGACTCAAGGACGGTCTACTGACTTGAACCCGGATGTAAACTCCAAACTTTCGGGTCAGCAGTCTAGCTCTTTAACACTCCGTCCCATTTAACAACATTTTACTAACATGTATTAAGATACATGTAATCATATATATTTATGTATATATATATATATATATATATATATATATATATATATATATATATATATATATATATATATATATATATAGGCCTATATGTTGAAAGTGAGTAGTACCTGGAGGGCAGGTTGACCTCTGAGATGTCCCCCAGCACCCTAGCATCATTGAGACGCACCAGGCCACACAAGGTCGTCTTGAGGTCCTCGACCTCGGCCACCATGACGTTGGCCACCTCACTGCCCTTGGCGATCTTCCTCAGGAACCTGTCGTTGGTGATCTGGAACCGGGAAGCAGAACATAGTGACCCAGATGTAAGGCACCAACACTATAAGAGTTGCTCTACAAGTCACGTGACCCACAGGTCAGCACTCACACAGTAACACACACCGACAATGACAACATTAGTGACATTAACCCGTCACAACACTGACATCAACATGACTTATTGTTGTGACACCTGTCTGTCTGTGCCAACACAAGACACAACTATCATCAAGAACATCTGACACCTGTTGTCGAGATTAAAATAAATGTGTGTCTGACTTGTACCGAAACCTTTCCGGACCCTGACATTTTGTTACGTCTTCTTCCAAACAATGGCAACAATTATTTTATATTGAAATAATTTCAAGATTTTAATACGTAATGGGGGGGGGGGGTTGTGGTGATTGATCAGGCTATAATGTGCTTAGATTGTCATCTGTCCTTTTCACCTCTCACTACAGCTGCGTGACGCCACTATTTTATGACGCCAAAACTCTTATTTCTTTTTATACTACTGGGACATTATTATTGTATGACTCCAAGACCTTATCACTCTATGATCGTGTGACTCCATGACCTTATGACTCAATGCCCTTTACGATTCCATGACCTTATAACTCGAGAACCTCATGACTCCATAACCATAGACTCCATAACCTTATGACTCCATTACCGTGTGACTGTATGACTTTATGAATCCATAACCTTGTGACTGTAGGACCTTATGACTCCATAACCTTATGACTCCATGACCTTGTGACTGTAGGACCTATGACTCCATGACCTTATGACTCCATGACCTTGTGACTGTAGGACCTATGACTCCATGACCTTATGACTCCATGACCTTATGACTCCATGACCTTATGACTCCATAACCTTATTACTCCATGACCTTGTGACTGTATGACCTTATGACTCCATGACTTTATGACTCCATGACCTTATTACTCCATGACCTTGTGACTGTATGACCTTATGACTCCATGACTTTATGGCTGCATGTCGACATGACGCCTGACTCCGACCCCACCTGTTTAACCCCAACCCCTACACAGAGCCGTGAGTTGAGCCAACATTACAACGCCAAGGTGAAGGTCACACTCTCGCGGGAAATCGCACGGGAAAGGCACGCTGGTTAATCAACAGATGGACTGTAGGAGGGATAACTCGGGCTGGATCAGGACAATAACCGCCAGTTGTTGCCCGTGAAATATTCACTGGCTGTCGCTATTATAGCTTTCAAAGAGAGCACAGCAATACATCAGGAGGCTGTGATTGGCAGTCTACAGCTTAGTCCTACAATGTCATGAAATGTCAATGTCATTCAATGTCAATGTCATGTCGTGTCATGTCGTGTCATGTCATGTGACTTTCAGCCGTCACTAAACATCAGACTGAACATCATTAATTAAAAATGTAGCTAGCCTTTAATTACTGGCAGGGGCCGTGCGAAACGGGATATTTTATTTTAAAATGGTGACGTAGGCCTACGTGTCATAAACAACACACTCCACACGATAGTGTGTGTGTGGTGTGTGTGGAGGTTTGTGTGGGTTTGTGTGTGTAGTGTGTGTTCTAATGTATTTTTTAGTATATGCGTTTTTGTGTATTTTTTGAATGTTTTTTTTTTCCTGTTAGTGCGCGTTGTGTGTATTTGTATGTGGTTATCGTGTGTTTTTGTTTGTTTTGTTTTGTTTGTGTTTGCTTATTAATAGGTTGATTATGTGTTTTAGTTTGAGTGAGTGTTTGACTGTGTGGTTTGTGTATTTCTGTGTTGTGCTTATTTGTGTGTGTTGTGTATCAGTAAAATTGTTTTATTATGTTTGTGCAGATGCTAAGTATATACGTGTAGTGTTTTATTGTGCAAGCCTCTCTAACATTTTATTCTGAGTACTTTAATACAACACCATGTATGTATGTCAACTGTTCCCATGAGTTTTAGCCTAGCTCAAACTACGTATGTTTTATTTATCTTAGTATTGGAATATGTTGGAACGTGCATGTGAGGACTGTGTGGGGGCGAGGGGTATGTGTGTCGGGTACGGGTGTGAGTGGCATCTGTGGGAATTTAGTACTGAAAACATTTTGTCAACGTGGCCACAAAATTGTGTAAAGGTTAGAGGTCACCTCCCCTGAGGCTGTCTAATTGTTTTATTTATAGTATACAGCATACTGCAAATGTTACTGGGGCGTTGACGTGTAATTGTACACCAGACTGACGAATGTCAGGCAAAAACCATAATGTCATGCTTATTCTAACACACCAGGTCCAATACATTTATAAATATTTAATCAATCCATGTCCGGTAAGTCTGGAAATATTCTAATAAACCAGGTCCAATTACTCTATTTTAGTAAACCAGGACCAGTAACTATGGATCTTTTAGAAAATCAGGTCCGGTAACTATATACATATTTTACTAAATCAGGTACGGTAACTCTAAAGATTTTAGTAAATCCGGTAACTTTTTTGGTTTTAGTAACAGGTAACCCTATAGGTTTTAGTAGATCAGGTCCGGTAACGCTATAGGATAGTTAGTAAATCAGGTAAGTAGATTTTATTAAATCAGGTCCGGTAACTCTATAAATATTATTAAATCAGGGTCCGGTAACTCTAAGGATTTTATTAAATCAATTCCGGTAACTCTATAGATTTTATTAAATCAGGTCCGGTAACTACATAGATTTTATTAAATCAGGTCCGGTAACTCTATGCTTACCTTCTTTGAAGCCTCGTCATCAAGGGAGCTGAGGCTGACCTCGCTGTTCTCACTGTCAAAGGCCGCCTCACTGCTGATGCTGATAGCACTGGCCACAGTACTCATCTCTCCTGCCACTGGGGGTGGACAGAGGTGGACATATATAGCACATACACGGGGGACATATAGGTCACATACAACAGTGGACATATAGGTCACATAAAGAGGTGACATATATGTCACATACAGGGGGGACATATATGTCACATACAGAGGGGACATATAGATCACATACATAGTGGAAATAAAAAAAAATGACATATATATGTAGATAACAGATGTGAATTATATGCAGTTTTCTTATTATTATTATTCGTTCTTAATTGTTTTTTTAGAGTTGGTAGTGATAGAGCCTTATCTGCCAGAGGGTTTAAACTCGAAGCTTTTTCGAATTTATCAACCATGAGCTTTGCCAACTCGACCACGCCTCCAACACAATTAAGTATGCGTGTCAACTGGTTTTGCGCCATTAAGGTCATTGACTCCGATTTCAGCCTGCTTTTCATTTTGGATTTGCTTCCATAGCCTTTGTCCAACCAAGAACAAACTACTAGGCAGAAGTTGTTGAGTTGTCTCTCCTAGAAGAGTGGCTAACGAGCCTCATCTGCCCGAGGGTTCGAACTCGAGACTTTTCGGTTTAGCAACTATGAGCTTTACCGACTCGACCACGCCGACCCCTTATGCAGTCAATACACGGGCAAAAAATATAGAGTGGTCACGTAGAGAGACAATATATAAAGTGGACAAATAGACACAAGTATACATAGGCAGGAACCTATTAGCAAAGTGGACAAATAGACATAAGTATACATAGGCAGGGACCTATTAGCAAAGTGGACAAATAGACATAAGTAGACAGAGACAATGACATATTAACAAAGTGGACAAATCGATCCTTGGGCAAATACTAGACTGTGAACAGAACGTTGGTTGGATAAATGTTATGTCATTCAGTGAATGTGGGATAGGCTGGCCATTGACATATGGCAAGCTACATGGCCATAAATTTCGCCAACTACAGGACCAAACAGTTGGCCAACTATAGGACCAAACAGTTGGCCAACTATAGGACCAAACAGTTGGCCAACTATAGGACCAAACAGTTGGCCAACTATAGGACCAAACAGTTGACCAACTATAGGACCAAACAGTTGGCCAACTATAGGACAAAACAGTTGGCCAACTATAGGACCAAACAGTTGGCCAACTATAGGACCAAACAGTTGGCCAACTATAGGACCAAACAGTTGGCCAACTATAGGACCAAACAGTTGGCCAACTTTGCCAGTGATGTGGTGGATCACACACCATCATAAATCTACTCACACTAAAAGGGAAGTCTATCATAGCAAGATCTACGCCAATCAAAATACATAAATACATCCATTCATTCTTCAAAAATATCTTAACCACCTAGCCTCACCCTCATCCCTTCCAGCCTTCACCCACCTCCACACCCCTATACTCACAACCCTCATCCAGCAATCCTAACCCCCCCCCCCCCCCCCACCCACTCCACAATCCATGGATGAGTACCTGAATTCGTTATTTCCACCAGACTGATGAAAACAAGTTATTTTGATTTCCATCTCAATTTTTGCTCTCTAGTCTAGCGGTCTCACGTGACTAAACAAACAAAGATTTGAACAAACAGCGCGACCCTCCCCTGTGTTCGCTGTTTGTTGTTGTTGTTGTTTTTTATCTCTTTGTTCTAACTTTGTCAGCCTCATTTTGTTTTAATCTCACTTAATGAGGTAGTGATGAGGTATTGATGAGGTGAGGTGTTGACGAGTTTACAGTTGTGGCAAACTACATGTCAACAACTTGGCCGATTGTTTCTAAATGTATGCCGATTGTTACAACATGCATATTGATACAACATTCTAATCTGGAGGCTGATTGTTTCTAATTGTAGGCCGATTTTTAAAGTCAGTCTTTTTTAGTAAAAGTTGGCTGGTTGTTCCTATAAATATACGTTTAGATCAATTGTTACTATAATTAGGCAGGTTGTAACCACATGTAAACATACACGTATATTGATACAACATGCTGATAAGAGGCCGATTGATATAAAATGAAGCATTCTGTCTCTTATTGTAGAACGATTCATACATTGTATGAACATACAGATAGATGTTGATTAATCATTTGTTACGCAGTTGTTACTAGATCTGAACGAATTACGTAGGCCACATCATGTAAACGTACAGAAAGGATATAAATAAATTAAAACCGCGTTTGCTAATAATATTATTATATATGTCTAAATAATATCCATCCCACCAATAACGTATGACGTCAGCATGGTAAAATACATCGATTTGGTGTATTTTGTCATTATGTATGATGTATTATGTCATTAATATGTAGTGCCGGTGGGCTAATTAGTTTATACAAATTTTGATCCAACTCGACTTTACAAGATTACCTCAATATTGGGAAGTAATCTTTATATTATATTGTCCTGCAGCGAGAATTCAGGGTAGGTTGACGTTATCAGATCAGGTTATAATGCAAGGAGGAGAGGGGACTTTAGAGGTGTGATATGAATATAAAACTGTTGCTTATATACATATATACCTATATACAAAATTCATGTACATATTGATATTCATATATATATACATACATATACACGTGTAAGCATACTCATATATAGGCCTAAATAGAACATTTATATATATATATATATATATATATATATATATATATATATATATATATATATATATATATATATATTTATATATATATTTATATATATATTTATATATATATACTGTATACAAGTATATGATGTAGATATGTATACCTGGAAAATATGTTGTTTGTATATATATATATATATGCTACCCCACGCTAACCCCCCCTCCCCCCACAATAGCCCCAACACTCCCCCTCCCCCCCACATTATTAAAACACCCACGTTGTAAACGACACCCCCGGCTTGTGAGGCCGTCTGTAGCGAGGTGCGGGCTGGCGCTGATGTAGCCTGCTGCTGTAGTTGTTGATATTGTTGCTGGCAGTGTCTCGCTACAACACTCGCTACAACACTCGCAACAGTGAGCAGCACACAGCCATGCTGCGGAGTGTGATTAACGAGGCGAATATCAGATAGTGGTTAATTCAGTGCTGAAGTAGAAAATCAGGTGAGTTGATCTAGTCACATTATCATGAATATATATATATATATATATATATATATATATATATATATATATATATATATATATATATATAAGAACAATCTACGTTTTATACGTTTAAATACGAGAATTCGAGTACTTAAGTAAACAAATTCCACGCGCTATCAATAGTAACAAATAGTATAGTTGAAGTTAGGCCTTTAAGTTACAGAATATTTCATGCGAAGCTGTATTCACCGGCCACAGCTGTGCAGTTTTAGTACAGTTTCAGCTGGTAATGTTATACTGCTAAATGAAAGAGATAAATACAACCAATGCTACCTGTATATTAGGCCGCTAGTTAGTGATAGCCGTCCAATACAGATGGGAGGGTTATTATTTTAGTTCACTTTAACAGAGGCGGAGAATGTCCGGTTTAAAATGTATTTTCACTTTATAAAACTATTCAAAAGTCTCTCTCTCTCTCTCTCTCTATATATATATATACTAGCGTACCCGTCCCCCGCGCGTTGCCGCGGGGATAGAATAAAGTCTGACGAAATATATTAGAAGGATATCACCAATGCATTACCAATCATATGTTCTTACACGCGTCACCTTGTTTTCTAAAACTGTGTTATTTAAATGCCTGCGCTTGGATAATAATTATCGGGACACGGGTTTTCCTACACTACCGCATGAAAACCTTGAGTGTATATTAATCACTCACCGAAATAATTAGTTAGAACACACTTCGGTGACCACCCATATGTCAGGGACGTAGAGGGGCGCTCTCAGGAGCCCCCCCCCCCCACCTCCCGATTACACTACCGCAGAGGCGCAGCGTAAGGCCCCTGGCTCCTTAAAACTAACAGGCGCCATCGTGCTCATAGGATAACCCAGCGTGCCAAATAGCATCCTGTAAACAATGATGCAGATTTCGTCATTCGCTAAAGTGACACAAATGAACAGGATTTTTTTCTTTAACACATACAAAAATTATTTGACGTGTTTTCAACATCAGTTTGTCTGATGCAATATGCTAGCGTTACTAATGGTCTATTATTAGATGCTCGGTCTCAATTTCGGCCTGGATCGTCTAATAATAGATGCTTATTGCATCATTCGCAAAGTGACGAAACTCTACAGTAGGTTCCTCATATTCAAACCGTTATTTTTTCATCTTTCGCAAGGTGACGAAACTGTACAGGGTTTCCTCGCGTTACAAAGTTATTTTTAGAAGCCTGTTGTAGTTTTAGCGCTGAATATAGTAGTACCCCTTACTCGCTATGCAGGACGCTCGATTAACGGATGTCAAGTGCCAACTTAGTCGCTCTAAAACTCGGCGCCAAACCGTGTATTGACGAAAGTTGTACCCTATATGGAGCCGCCCGTAAGAAACTTTAGTTGTTTTTTTTTCGCAGAAATATTATCGGGAGTATTCTCATCTAGATCTTCTACTCCCTAAAGTTTCATGGCACTCGGATGAACCGCATCCGAGTTTTATATTTTATATACCGTGTATAGAGAAAAAAAATCGCTCACCCCCCCCCCCCCCCAGTGGTGCGCCGCCCTTGCAATATAAAACAATATTTTTTGCAGAACCCTACCATTGAGTGATCTAATCATCTCCCCAAAGTTTCATGGTACACGGATGAACGGTGTGAAAACGAAATTTTATAAACCGTATATAGAGAAAAATCGCAGCCGCCCGTGGCGCCGCCCTTGCGAAATTAATAAAGGTTTTTTTTACAGAACCCTTCCCTGAATTGTTCTAATCAACTCCCCCAAAGTCTCATGGCTATCGGATAACGGTGTCACACCAAAATCGACTTATTTTTATAAACCGTATATAGAGAAAAATCGCACCCTCCCGTGGCGCCGTCCTTGCGAAATTAAAAATGATTGTTTACAGAACCCTTCCCTAGAGTTTTATAATGAACTCCCCAAAGTCTCATGCCTATCGGATAAACGGTGTCACTGCAATTCACTTCTATTATTTTTATATACCGTAAAAAGAGAAAAATTGGACCCTCCCCTGGCGCCGCCCTTGCGAAATTAAAAATTATTTTTTTACAGAACCCTTCCCTGAATTGTTCTAATCATCTCCCTCAAAGTCTCATGGCTATCGGATAACGGTGTCACACCAAAATCGACTCTTATTTTTATATACCGTATATAGAGAAAAATCGCACCCTGCCGTGGCGCCGCCCTTGCAAAATTAAAAATGATTTTTACAGAACCCTTTCCTAGAGTTTTATAATGAACTCCCCAAAGTTTCATGGCGATCGTGTGAACGGTGTCACCTCAATTCACTTTTATTATTTTTATATACCGCATAAAGAGAAAAAAACAAATCGCGCCCTGCCGGGGCGCCACCCCTGCAAATTTGAAAATGTTTTTAGCGCAGAAATCTCCCCAGTTATATTCTCTACATGTTCCCAAAGTTTCATGGCGATCGTGTGAACGGTGTCACCGCAATTCACTATTATTTTTTTATATACGTATTAGAGAGAAAAATCGCACCCTCCTGTGGCGCCGCCCTTGCGAAATTAAATATGATTTTTTTACAGAACCCTTTCCTAGAGGGTTATAATGAACTCCCCAAAGTTCATGCCTATCGGATGAACAGTGTGAAATCAAAATAGACTTTTATTTTTATATACCGTATATAGAGAAAAAACAAATCGCGCCCTGCCGGGGCGCCACCCCTGCGAATTTGAAATTTTTTTTTTCGCAGAAACCTCCCCAGGAATATTCTCAACAACTTCCCAAAGTTTCACGGCGATGTGATGAGAGGTGTAGTAATGCATAAAGGACAGACAAACAAACAAACACACACACATACATTGCTTTTTATATATATAGATATATATATATATATATGTATATATATATATATATATATATATATATATATATATATATATATATATATATATATATATATATATATGGTATATATATATATATATATATGGTATATATATATATGGTATATATATATATATATATATATATATATATATATATATATATATATATATATATATATATATATATATATATATATACCATATAGTCAATATATTCCACAAGAACCCAGGGTGTGTGCCTCGCTTTGTCACGTGAAAACTATATACAAACAATACCCTATTTGCCCTTCTAACAATTAGCTAATGCCTCATACAAGGGAGACAATTAGCTAATTCCTTCTCTAGTACCCATTAAACCGTGCGTGCCATTTAGACAGGCAGTCTATGCAGAGTCTAAACGCTACCCAGAGATGAATCATGTGCTGCTAAACACAATAAACTGCACCTTCCACTAGAAACTCAGCACACATTATATTTCCATCCCAAATTGATTTCTTAACCTGGCGAGAGGAATATCTTAGTTATCGCCCCTGTGATCGCTCTCAATGTTACAGGTAGGGTATCTCGCTCCAGATTTAATGACTTGTGAGCCTGCAGGTTTTTTTATTTTAATTAGACAAAAAATATTTGTCGTGTGTTATCAACGCTAGTGTGTCTACACGGCGCGTGTCTTACACACTAGGCTGAAGGGGGGGGTCGATTCTATATCTACTGGTGTGATACTGTGCATTGTGGTCTGTCCATATTTGTTTAGCACAACGTGGTTTAGCTGCATCAAAACGGCATGATGGTAATTAACTGTGGGGCTTTCAGCCTTGAACTTTCTAAAAATAGGTCGCGGAGTGCGGAGTGGTGATGTATTACAGTATCGTGCAAAGGTCAGATATAATACGGCAGAAACTGAGTATGTTGGGTAACATATGCACGATGTTGCCGGTTTTGTGTTGAAGGAAGGGAGGGGATGGTGGTGTAGCGTAATAGAGGAGGGTCGGCAGTTGGGATAGTGACGTCACTGTAATGGGCAGTGGGGAAATTGACGTCACAAAGATTAAGTGACAATTAGACTGCCGGCTATCTGGCAGTTAAATTAAATCCAGAATATTCTTTATCTATTTCAACAGCGTTCTTTAAGAGTATCTATTATATATATATATATATATATATATATATATATATATATATATATATATATATATATATATATATATATATATATATATAAGCAAATTGTGTCCCTTATAAAAAGAATTACGCAATTGTCTCCCTTGGAGAGGAATTAGCTAATTGTCTCCCATATATATTTAGGCTATGTTTGAGTAACACAGTATTCCTATGAGACCTAACTAACAAATCCAAACTACCCAACATTCAATTAGCCATGGTCCCCAGTACAGCGACGGACCGTTCAATTCCCATAAATTTGAGTGTGAGAAGAGGCTGTCACGTAACTCGGGGGTGGGGTGGGGGTACTGGGTCAGTATACCAACAGGACCCTGAACCCTGTGTATGGTCGGGGTTACCGTTATTGCTGGTGATAAGAAAGACCAAATAAAGCCCGGGGTGAATTGATTTCTTGCATACGTCATCCAATCGTCTGCTAGCCAGCTGGATATTGAAACAGCTGCTGTTCCCGGCTGTTCCCGGCTGTTTCTGCTCAGAGTGGAGTCAGGCAAGTGTGAAATGTGTTGTTGTGTTGTACTCACGCCGACAGATGGAGCTTCTGTGTTACATGCAGTCATGCTATGCCAAGCACATGTAAGGCTTTTTGTCTTCCCGTCAGCTCTGTTCATGTTTTTCTAGCTCGTGTTCACGTTTTCCTCTAAACATATGCTCATGTTTTCCTGTCAGGATATGTTCATGTTCCATGATACAGGTTATGCATCGTTTCGTAACACTATCTTCACATTGACTGTAGAAAATAAGGTCCGTTCTGATTTTGAATTCACATCTTTTGTTATAATGAATGAAACCACCGTGGTTGATCTAGTGAGTGGTAGTTCACAGCAGTTTAAAACTGGGTTCCCGTAGTTTCAGTGGTGTCAGGATATTCGTGAGAAAGGCCGTTTTTTTTCTCGTCAAATGTGTACAGAGTTTAAGGGACAGATTGTGTATACTAAATGTGTACTGGCGCCAAGGTGTGTGTATGTATACACTTGTTAACTAGATATGGGTATCACGTGATGGTTAAATAACGTCATGGTCCATCGGATTTCTGAGAAGCGTAAAACGGCAAAGGTTGTTTTGTTTTTTTTTTTGTTTTGTTTTTTTACAATTAACCCCAACACTCTAGTAACAAAATATTACAAAAGCCAGCTCTCCCCACCCCTAAGACACACACACACACACGTAAAGTGTGTGACGTCCATTAATCATGACGCCCTTATTGAGCTCTGTTAAACAGGCCTACGCGTGTAAGATTGTAAAACTAATCTTTGAGTCGAGGTGAGTAAAATTAACTAATCAACAAAACAGGCTGAGTAGTGAGTGGGGGGGGGGGGGGGGGGGCGTTCAAGATGAATTGTGTAAGTGTGCGAGAGGTAGGTGGGGTGCCTGCCACACGACATGGGTGAACACGACGTGTGCGGGCATGTGGGTGTGGTGTTTGCCACACGATACATCAGACGTGTGGACATATATATTTTTGTCAAGACGACAGGCCCCTGTTGAATACCAGCTGACGTAAATGGGGAGAAATTAGCTGATGTCAGCAGATGAAACACCGCGAAGAAAATATCTATTTGACCAGTGTCCGCCGCCTACCCCGGAAATTTAAATCCGCCCCCCCCCCCCCCCCACCACCACCCTGCTTCGCCAACTCTTTGTATCAGAAATCACGAATGATCCATGTACCAGCTATGTGACGTGTCACTAATGACCCCACCATCTATGTGACGTGTCACTAATGACCCTAGCATCCATGTGACGTACCAATAACGGTCATACCATGTATACGTCATCACTAATGACCCTAGCATATATGTGACATATAATTACTGTCCCTAATAAAATCGCATCAGAACGGCCCTATTATGTATGTGACGTCTCCCTAAGAGCCCACCCATCTCTCTGTAAAGCTCTACCCTATAGCTAGCATGCTAATGTCAACAATACGAGGTGCCCAATCGATTGAATGCAGGAAAAATGTGTTTGTCTTGGTTTTACGTCAACACGAAGTTTGAATTGATTGAAATCCCTGCCAAATATCAAGTGGGGTTTGCAAACCTGTTTGATATAATGTGGCTTTAAACACGTCACTTTTGTAGCGTTTGAAGTTTTTCTTAAACGTAGCTAGGTGTGATTTGTTTATACTTCAGAATTTGAATTTTTTATCTATGACGTCATTGAATTTCGCGTACAATTTGTTTCAGGATGCTGAACATAGGGTCCACCCAGGGGGAGCCGCCCCGGGGGGTGTACACGCTGGAGACGTGCCTGGAGGAGATGCTGAACAAGTCGCGCCACACCCACCAGCCTCACTGCCCGCCGGAGTGGGAGCAGTACTCGAAGCTGTGTTGGGGACCGGCTCCTGCAGATTCCAGAGTCGCCCTCCCCTGTCCTGATGACGGGTTCCTGAACCCCAGGCAGTTGGCCTACCGCACGTGCACCCATGATGCCAAGTGGTATGTCAACTTGACATTTGATGACAAGCCGTACACCGACTTCTCCGAGTGCTTGATCCCTGAGACGTCGACATTCGAGGAAGATTTAAGAAAACTTGTGGGGGAGAAGATAATGCTGGTACTGAAGGCGTTGGACGCGTCAGAGCATCTTCGGCTGACGCTGCACATCATCTCTGTGGTGATGTTGGTCGTCACCGTCATCACCAGCGTCATCATGGCCATTAAGTCCAAGGAACGCCGCACGGAACCGTACAGATTCGTGTCTTTTATATTCGGTGCCGCGGCTCTTCTCCTGAACAACGGCATCACGCTGTCCAGCAGCGCTGTGAACAATGTCTGGCACCAATCGCGGTGCCGGACAGCCAAGTACCTGGTCATCTTCAGCAGCATCATCTTATACCAAAGCTTGTTCGGTTACATCTACCTGTCTATCGCTACTTTGATGGACTACGTCCTTAAACCTGTTAAAGTTAGGTTAGTCGTGTTGGGGGCGTTTATTCTAGCCGTAGTTCTGGTTAGCGCAGAGGTCAGCATAGAGATTAACCTTTACTCTAACCAGTTCTGTGGGTTCGGCACGCTCCAGACTTCCTACCACTGGATCACCACCGGCTTCAAGCTGCTGCTCATCCTCTCCATCATCTGCCTCGACATCGTCGCTGTCTTCGGATCATTCTATCTCAAGCTGCCTCACCTCAGCGGCGTCACGGAGCTCCGACTCCTACGTCAGCAGAGCGTCAGCGCCATGGTGGTGACGCTGTACAACACCATCCGCGAGGTGTTGCTGATCATGGTGTACGGTGTGGCCTACCTCAGCTACTTCGACTCGCCCATAGAGCTCTACGTTCGCATCTTCTCCATCGTCAACGCGGCTCAGGGCATCATCTACTCGCTATTCATGTGTTTTATAGACCTGGAGCTGTGGTACTTCCTCCCCTGTATCCACCCCCAGCAATCCACCGCCACCAACAACGCTACCAGCTATCTCTTCATGTCCGCAGAGCATGCGCAAATCACGGAGAAAAACAAGTTCAGCAAGAACCAAAGGGAGTTAAGCGATGAAGATATTATTGACGTGGATTATCTGCACTCGCGAGCAAACAAGACGGAATCGAGGCCGAAAATTTACGAGACCCGTGTGGTGTTTGGACCAATCAGTTGACGGTAGAAACATCATGCACACATCACATACATCATGCACACATCACATGCATCATGCACAAATCACTAACATCATACAGACATGACTAAAATCATACACACATTACAAAATAGAATGTGTTGTATCATTTGACGATAGACTAAAACTTACAGACATCCCAAAACAGCGGACATAATAATTATTTTAACGCTACAAACCTATAGACATCATATATCGCCATATATCAAAAAGATAAACAAAATGCTGACATCATACTGACGCCATAGACATAACGACACAGCCCCCGTCAAACAAGCATAACGAACATAACGAAAACATGACATGGATGTATACAACTAACACCACGTGACTAAAGTCCCATCAACATCCAGGGCAGCATGACCTACCTGACGGACTGGCCTTGAGATCGCCATCTTTCCGCTTCTGGTTTTTCTTCTTGTCTTCTGGCCTGCCCTTCTCGTGGCGGTGGCGGTGGCGCTTCAGACACAGCGCCCTCAGGTGGCGCCTCAGTAGGGGGGTCAAGGTCCCGTTGGCGGTCCAGGCGTCCAGCAGCTGGTCTGAGGACATAAAGGTCACGTGTAGCATCTGCATTACGTCACACATTACGTCACACGTTACGTCACAGTGGCCATGCAGATTAGAACGTGCATGCAAGAAATTCTTGACATTTCAGGCGTGAGTTGTCGTCATTGTGATAAATGAACACGACTGATTAAAAGCTTTGAGCATACGTGAGCTGTAGATACGGGACAGTTTATTTTTGCAGAAATTATTTGAAAAATGTTAAGAAAGTATTAGCTGGGGGGAAAATATCCTTTAAGTAGGTAAAGATAAATGTAGATTTAAAAACGATGCATGTTCTTTACGAATGTTTTAATCATGTGACATCTGAGAATGTTGTTTCTTACTGCATTATTAGGCCCTCTAAATTATATTAAACGTAATTGTATGTATGCAACAAACTACCGACCAACCCTATATAAACTACCAAACTACTGACCAACCCTATGTATACAACCAAACTACTGACCAACCCTATATAAACTACCAAAGTACTGACCAACCCTATGTATACAACAAACTACTGATCAACCCTATGTATACAACAAACTACTGATCAACCCTATGTATACAACAAACTACCGACCAACCCTATATAAACTATCAAACTACTGACCAACCCTATGTATACAACCAAACTACTGACCAACACGATGTATACAATAAACTACCGACCAACCCTATGTAAAGAACCAAAGTACTGACCTATGACCTGGGATATAGAGTAACACTCCAAGTCCTTGATGAAGACTCCCTCTAGAATCTGTTTCCTCATCTCCATCAGGAAGTGCATGTTGAGGGAGGCCACATGAGGTTTGGACCACCTCTTTCCTCCCGCCTCCACCTTCTCCTCGTACTTGACCCACCTGAGGAGGATCAAAATACATCTGAGTTATAGATGACCCACCTGTGGGGTACCACACACCTGTGTCTATCTTACCCACCTGTGGGGGGACCACACACCTGTGTCTATCTTACCCACCTGTGGGGTACCACACACCTGAGTTCTAACTGACCCACCTGTGGGGTACCACACACCTGTGTCTATCTTACCCACCTGTGGGGTACCACACACCTGAGTTCTAACTGACCCACCTGTGGGGTACCACACACCTGTGTCTATCTTACCCACCTGTGGGGTACCACACACCTGAGTTCTCACTGACCCACCTGTGGGGTACCACACACCTGAGTTCTAACTGACCCACCTGTGGGGGACCCACCTGTTCGGGGACCAGCCACGCCTCAGTTCTCCTATATGCAACATGCTGATACAGCATACAACACTCATCATATAACAAAAACCACCATCCTACATACAGCATGCTGCACCAAGAGACAGTCGCTATGTAAACAAATGCGCGAACATTAATCACGTTTGTTTAGTTCCGTGTTTTACTGCAAGCTTTGATCTTCTAATGAATGATGTATAATGTAGTTGTTACCAAATAAAAATAATAATCTAATGGCTGCTACCAGCAACATAGTACACTGTACGTAGGGGGGGGGGGGAGACTTTGTTTCAAACGGAAAATGTTTTCCATAATAAATGTACAATGTGCGGGTGGGGGGGGGGCAGAGATGCGAGTTAACCGTAAAAATTTAATAGCATGTTATCGTTACTTTGTACTGGCGAATCTTTAAAAAGAAGTCATTATGTCATTTGATAACACAGGGTGGGTGGATCAAACTTAACGTAACATCAGTAGTTGGACGAAGGGGGGACGGGGGACGGGTCACACTTTATCTAACTCCAGCGGTGGGTGTGTGGGTCAGACGTTATATGACTTCTGGCGTGTGTGGGTCTCTATATAAAATGTGTCATGGGTGGGGTAGACTTCAGACAACATTTCTGTGGGCCAGACGTCTAGTCAGCAAACAACTTGTCACTGGTCTACAACAATATTGACTAGACATATAGCATGGTCCATATTGACTCGACGTGTATCATGGTCCATATCGATTGGACATGATCCATATCGATTAGACATGTTTGGTTGCGTGGATTGTGTACCATGTGAAAGCACATTTCATAATTTCAAATTTCTATACTTCACATCACTTCTAGTGTGTGAGGCCTGGTGAGCCTAGTCTTACAGTTGTTTGTATGCTCTTGTTTTGTTACGGTCACATTCTAATCCTTGTTTTTAAATAACTTATTTATTGATATATTCTATGTCACTTTTTTCGACTGTTTATGTTGAATAAACTTTTGCTTTAACTAAAGATACTGCTAACTACCTTTATTTAATAAGAATTAACATATACTGCTTAAAACACTTATTTAATGTTTTTGCATAGCTTTTAACGACCAAAGAATTATTATAAATGAACTACTGAATCAAAAAATTATTGTCAGGAAAGTTTTGCTCATGGCTGGTCGCGCCAACAACATGGTTTAGTTTTATTGTGGAATAAAATAAAGCTAAAAATTGTATTGATTTTTTTTTTATTTTACTGATTGGAGATCGCTAACTCGTGACACTAAAGATGTCTGGTCTGAGATAATATAATTATACTTTATTAATATGTATTGACGAGTGTTTACAGTTGACAAGCCACTCCCTCCATTCAGTCCTCCCCCCCCTCTGCTCCACCTTACCTGGCCCACCCCCTCCATTCAGTCCTCCCCCCCCCCCTCTGCTCCACCTTACCTGGCCCACTCCCTCCATTCATACCTCCACTGCTCCACCTTACCTGGCCCACTCCCTCCATTCATACCTCCACTGCTCCACCTTACCTGGCCCACTCCCTCCATTCAGTCCTCCCTCCCCCCCCCCTCTGCTCCACCTTACCTGGCCCACTCCCTCCATTCATACCTCCACTGCTCCACCTTACCTGGCCCACTCCCTCCATTCATACCTCCACTGCTCCACCTTACCTGGCCCACTCCCTCCATTCATACCTCCACTGCTCCACCTTACCTGGCCCACCCCCTCCATTCAGTCCTCCCCCCCCCCCCTCTGCTCCACCTTACCTGGCCCACTCCCTCCATTCATACCTCCACTGCTCCACCTTACCTGGCCCACTCCCTCCATTCAGTCCTCCCTCCCCCCCCTCTGCTCCACCTTACCTGGCCCACTCCCTCCATTCATACCTCCACTGCTCCACCTTACCTGGCCCACTCCCTCCATTCAGTCCTCCCTCCCCCCCCCCCCTCTGCTCCACCTTACCTGGCCCACCCCCTCCATTCAGTCCTCCCCCCCCCCTCTGCTCCACCTTACCTGGCCCACTCCCTCCATTCATACCTCCACTGCTCCACCTTACCTGGCCCACTCCCTCCATTCAGTCCTCCCTCCCCCCCCCCTCTGCTCCACCTTACCTGGCCCACTCCCTCCATTCATACCTCCACTGCTCCACCTTACCTGGCCCACTCCCTCCATTCAGTCCTCCCTCCCCCCCCCTCTGCTCCACCTTACCTGGCCCACTCCCTCCATTCATACCTCCACTGCTCCACCTTACCTGGCCCACTCCCTCCATTCATACCTCCACTGCTCCACCTTACCTGGCCCACTCCCTCCATTCAGTCCTCCCTCCCCCCCCCCTCTGCTCCATCTTACCTGGCCCACTCCCTCCATTCATACCTCCACTGCTCCACCTTACCTGGCCCACTCCCTCCATTCAGTCCTCCCTCCCCCCCCCCCCCCTCTGCTCCACCTTACCTGGCCCACTCCCTCCATTCATACCTCCACTGCTCCACCTTACCTGGCCCACTCCCTCCATTCAGTCCTCCCCCCCCCTCTGCTCCACCTTACCTGGCCCACTCCCTCCATTCATACCTCCACTGCTCCACCTTACCTGGCCCACTCCCTCCATTCATACCTCCACTGCTCCACCTTACCTGGCCCACCCCCTCCATTCAGTCCTCCCTCCCCCCCCCCCCCTCTGCTCCACCTTACCTGGCCCACTCCCTCCATTCATACCTCCACTGCTCCACCTTACCTGGCCCACTCCCTCCATTCAGTCCTCCCTCCCCCCCCCTCTGCTCCACCTTACCTGGCCCACTCCCTCCATTCATACCTCCACTGCTCCACCTTACCTGGCCCACTCCCTCCATTCAGTCCTCCCTCCCCCCCCTCTGCTCCACCTTACCTGGCCCACTCCCTCCATTCATACCTCCACTGCTCCACCTTACCTGGCCCACCCCCTCCATTCAAAGTCCTCCCCCCTCCCCTCTGCTCCACCTTACCTGGCCCACTCCCTCCATTCATACCTCCACTGCTCCACCTTACCTGGCCCACTCCCTCCATTCATACCTCCACTGCTCCACCTTACCTGGCCCACTCCCTCCATTCATACCTCCACTGCTCCACCTTACCTGGCCCACTCCCTCCATTCATACCTCCACTGCTCCACCTTACCTGGCCCACTCCCTCCATTCAAAGTCCTCCCCTCTCTGGGCCAGCACGTCCATCTCAACGAACAGCTGTTTTGTTTTGTGCTTGGGGTCCCTCACTTTGTTGATCAGGGTCTGCACTCTGTCTGCGGGGTCGTACTCCACGTCACCAAAAGCAAAATAACTGTCACCTGGACAAAGAGAACGTAAAATTTACTTGGTTGTCTCCCTTATACTGCTAGAAGATGCGCTAGGGGATGCTACTCCAATAATTTGAATGTTTACTTTTCTTTTTCCGTGAAATAATATAAAATAATAAAAGTTTGTTCGATATTAATCTCATATATTTTACCTTTACTGTTTATTGTTAAAAGTGTATGAAATGTGTTTGTGAATATATCATATATTATTTTCTCAAGGAAATTTTGCTTGTAACCCATCGTACAAATACCCTTCCATTTTCACAGTCTAGCAGCTTTAAATAGGAAGTCTAATCCTTTTAAACAATAATGCGACACTTGTAAGGACCAACTGTTCATGAAATTATTGCTTCTTTGAAATAAAAATTAAAAATTTGGGTATTTTTTACACGACGTCATGCATCATCTAATATTTAATACGAGCTGACCCGCTGCGTATCATACGCCGCTATTTGGTTGTTTTTTTTTCTACTTTTCAGTAATTCATAATTTGTGAATTCGACAGTACCAATGCTGCCACTGAAAATATTTGCTTAAAAACACCAACCCCCCTCCTCCTCACGTGAAAGCAGCCTCCTCTTGGTTACCTCCTCTAAGTTTAAAATCGTTTCAAACTAAATTATCTGCCCCTAATAGCCGTCACCAAACCCGTCTCTATGATTGTAAAATGTAAACAGCGTGAGCACAGCTCACCAGATCATGTGGGGGTGGGGTGGGGGTGGTAGTGATAGTGATAGAGATAGAAAGAGAGGGGACTGCAAGGAGGCGCTTGCAGCTTGTTTTCTAACTGATCCCAGAAGAGAATTATATATATAGATTCTTCCTTTATCCCAAATTTATCTCAGCTCTAAAATATCAATATATATAGATATATATCAAGACCCCCATCAACCCACCAAACCGAAAAAATAAGATTCCCCTTTGTTGTACGTATTTTCTTCTCTCCACAGAACATTAAATTACCATTTAATTACACTTTTGCATTTTCAGGTTTAAAACATTAAGTTGAAAATTTATATTATGTATAAAATTTTTTTTTTTTAATTGCTTCTTTTAAATGCATATGAGCCAGGGGTCTGCAACCTACGGCTCGCGAGCCGCATGCGACTCCCTTGATGTTCAATATGTGAATCTCCTGTTCCATAATGATTATATTATTCTAATATAAAAACTCAAAAAATATTATACTGTAAAAACAAAAACAACTTTGAACAAAATAAATAACGAGAATAGACCCACAACTGTGCTGTGGCCAGCCCAGTGGCAATAGTTCCATGCTATCCACTACCGAAATGCACATAAAAATGTTAGTGGCTCTTTAAAAAGTGGGAAATTTTTTGGATTATAACTTTTTGCTTTTCCGTCTCAAAGGGTTGCCAACCCCTGATAATAGCAAAAAGTGTACGTATCATTACGTATCATCAGAATTAAATTAAAAAGGATCCTGTTAAATAGAAGCGACTTAGCAACCAAATCCTCTTGGCATGGAGATCTTGTTACAATGAAAAATAGAAGAAATGAATAAAGAAACAAAGAGACGAATAAGATTTTGATCAAAACAAATGGTATGATAAGAAGAGGTTATAAGACGAACGTTGTCCTATCCGCCTTGAATGAATGAAACAGCTTTTTAAAAAACATAAAAGTTGAATTGGCTGAATCAAAGAAAACTTTTAGAAGTAAAAAAAGTGGTGATTTTGTTTTTAAAGTTTGTTTTCTTAACTTCAAACACATTAGAGGCGTGTTTTATTGCCAGGGTTGAATCCATAGAGCAGCTTATTTGTTATTTTCATTAACAGACGTTTGAGAACAAATGTTCCCTTAAGCTTGAAGGACAGCTTGTGAACATCATTATTGTTTTCATTTTTTTAGAATTTTTTTTAATTAAAACATTCGATTTTAAATTAATATAAATTTAATATGTCGCATAATGCGACATTTGTTTATACAATCCCGTGTAATAACCTGCTTCACTCCTATCTTTCATACCATCTTGTACAACATGTTCACACGTATCAACACACCATCAGTTCCATCTTTCCTACCATCTAGTTCATTTACAACATGTTCAAAAGTATCAACCTACCATCAGTTCCATCCTTGCTACCATCAACACACGGTCGGTCTCTCTTGAGTGGTGAGCGGACATTCAGATACAAGGAAGAGGAATTTTTCCGGATGAACTGTGTCGGTACTTCAAGGGTCACTGTAAAGGAGAGGAGACTCCATGCATTCAAGTGTACTAGTTCCCTGAACCTTGAACTAACTATACAATAGTTCCCTGACCCGTGAACTAACTATACAATAGTTCCCTGACCCGTGAACTAACTATACAATAGTTACCTGACCCGTGAACTAACTATACAATAGTTCCCTGACATGTGAACTAACTATACAATAGTTCCCTGACCCGTGAACTAACTATACAATAGTTCTATAGTTTCCTGACCCGTGAACTAACTATACAATAGTTCCCTGACTCGTGAACTAACTATAATAGTTCAAGGACCTGTAAACTACCAACCATGTTGACTAAGATGACGGCTAGTTACAATTAGACTAAAACAAACTAAAAGCTTACATGTAGGTGAGGTCCCATTAGCTGGCGGGGCCCCGTGTTTGTCGGGGCCCCCGCTAGACTCGTCATTACTGGACATCGTTTTGCGAGACAGTTAGGCCTTGCACTGTGGAAGATAAAGTCATGACTTAGACTAAAAGATAATCATGACTTAGACTCTATAAGATAAAGTCATGATTTAGACTAAAAGATAATCATGACTTAGACTAAAAGATAATCATGACTTAGACTCTAGAAGATAAAGTCATGACTTAGACTGAAAGATAATCATGACTTAGACTCTAGAAGATAAAGTCATGACTTAGACACTAGAAGATGAAGTCATGACATTATGGCATACAAAATCAGTCATAGATTTGGCAGAAGTCAAACCAATGTAACTTAATTCCAAAACTACCAGAAACAAAATGTTTAGTTTAAATTACTAGCACACCGTGGAATGACAAATCTACTACCAAAGAAAGATGACGGTTTTATTATAAGTGTATGACAAAATATTTTCATATGCGGAATTTTCTTTTGAAATCAATATTGGAGTGTTTGTGTACAGACAGTCAGCAGTCTGCAACCCATATGTGGCATACACATAAATACCACATATAAACATATTGATAAACAATTGGTTTAACATCACCATTAAACGTTTTTCGAGGAATCTCCTACAGGCGAAATGGTCTTAAAATATGCAGCGTTGCGGGAATGTGATATCAAATTACCAAATTTTGAGGGTTTTTTAGGAATAGGAAAAAAAAGCCAAGTACAACTTTCGGTTACCGGAAATCGTACAAAAATATATAGAATAGGATGGTATATTAATAAATGAAATGGTGTCTACCTAACATATGTCAAACACACAGACAGACGGACAGACGGACAGGGTTGTGTAAAAAGTCGAGATGTGTCAAATCTTTATTTTAGATGTATATTTTTTTCTGTGTGTTTTTTTCACGAATACTATACTCCGTATACGAGAAAGTAAAATTCATTGTTAAAAAATCACCACTGAAATTTCGTTTATAATTAGTATAGATGATGACACTTTAAAAATAAGGGATTATTAAATTAAAATTATGCGAAACTTCTTGATAAAAATGTATTAGACCCATGTAGAAAAAAAGAGCATCAATGGTCTTATTAAAATCCTACGAAAAATTAGTAATTTGTTTTTACAGCAAATCACCACTGAATATTAATCTGAAAAAATCGCCTGTAAATAATTCGCGTACCAAATCGTCATTGAAACACTAGACTAGCAACTACATCAAATCACATATTATGTGTACACTTCCCCCACCCCATGATGTGAGTTACGTAATGTCACGTGGTTTAAGTACAGCCTCAGATACAGAGAAAGAAGATAATGCCCGCCTTTAGACATAAGCCTGTTTTAATGCTGTAATTAGGGTTTGGTTTCATTAGGGTTTGGTTTCATTAGGGTTTGGTTTCATTAGGGTTTGGTTTCATTAGGGTTTGGTTTCATTAGGGTTTGGTTTCATTAGGGTTTGGTTTCATTAGAGGCCACATTCTGACCTGTATATCGCGCGACTGTATACACCAGCTAGTAATTTAATTATCTTGATACAGGTAATTTTAGGGATTTTTAATTTGTACAGGTAATCTTAGTTTTTGCTTTTAATTTGTACAGGTAATCCTAGGGTTTTTACGGTCAACTGAGACTTTATCCGAAACTTATGGGATTTCTTCGGGTACTGAGTTTTTGTTCACATTAGCACAGAATTACTTGCATGTTAGATCTACAGTATATTTTCTCGTGAAAGCGTTTATTTAAACGTTTACCAAAACAAGTATGTAAACTTATTTCCGTACTCTAGTTAGAATTAATCACAATTTTGAAAAAAAAAAATTTTAAGTGATAACTCTAATTTGCACTATACAAATTAATTTACGTGAAAACCCGCTACGTATTTTTTTTTATAAATTGCATACTAATCCATTAATTATCACTACCATTAATCTTCTAAGTATTATACAAACTAATCCACAAAATAGCTTATTGTTTAAAGTCATATTAATCCATCTGTATGCACGAAAACTCGCAATGGTTATATCCATTGAATGTCAAACGATCAATATAACTAATTTTCTACAAGATAACTACACTCGTAAGTACCTAAACTATAAACCACACGTACAAACCAATCAAGAAAAAACGTCATCTACAAACCCTAATCTAATCCAAGAAATCTTACGTCAGGTCGTGATTCGCTTGACTGTCTGAATGTTAACGGCAGATCTGTGGGGGGGTTATAACATGTAAGCTGCTGACCCTCTTACACAATCTGGTTATTTTGTTACGCAACTTTTTTTTTTAAACACTGGCTTTTTTTTAGAAGAGTTGGGTTTTTTGTGGGGGAAAAGAAGACGGGAGGTTTGAGGGAGGGGGGGGGGGGGGGGGGACATGGTCGTATTTCGGTTTCACATTTCGTTGAAACGGGACGGTTGAAAGAACAATGACGTTTGTGTGTGGTCAAACGTTTTTGTGGGGGTCGTGTTCACAGGTTGTTTGGTACAAAACCGAGTCTCGTCTATAGTAGTAAGGTCAGCTCGCGCGTGTCCATTGTCACTGACATGCACACTGTCACATTGTCAGTGTCACAACTGTCATTTCGGGATCCTGCTACATAGTTTACATCTGTCTTTCTCTTGTGGTGGTTTAATCGCATAAAGACACGGACTACATTAGAACAGACCTGTAGCACATCTTCTAGAGCTCTATTCTTAGAGGTGAGTTCAATTTACTTTGGTCAACACGCCTGAGAAATGACTCACTATAAAAGTCTTAAGGATCTTACAACATAGGCTGCTTGACGCTAATCACAATATGGACAATACTATTGGTGCTGAAAGGTGCTAGTTTATCTCTTGTAAGCTGCTAGTTTATCTATTGTAAGCTGCTAGTTTATCTATTGTAAGCTGCTGATTTATCTATTTTAAGCTGCTGATTTATCTATTGTAAGCTGCTAATTTATCTATTGTAAGCTGCTAGTTTATCTATTGTAAGCTGCTAATGTATCTATTGCAAGCTGCTAATTTTCTATTGGACGTTGCTAATTTATCTATTGTTAGCTGCTAGTCTATCTATTGTAAGCTGCTAGTTTATCTATTGTAAGCTGCTAGTTTATCTATTGGATGTTGCTAATTTATCTATTGTTAGCTGTTAGTTTATCTATTGGACGTTGCTAATTTATCTATTGTTAGCTGCTAATTTATCTATTGGACGTTGCTAATTTATCTATTGTTAGCTGCTAATTTATCTATTGTTAGCTGCTAATGTATCTATTGTAAGCTGCTAATTTATCTATTGGACGTTGCTAATTTATCTATTGTAAGCTGCTAGTTTATCTATTGGACGTTGCTAATTTATCTATTGTTAGCTGCTAATTTATCTATTGTTAGCTGCTAATTTATCTATTGGACGTTGCTAATTTATCTATTGTAAGCTGCTAGTTTATCTATTGGACGTTGCTAATTTATCTATTGTTAGCTGCTAATTTATCTATTGGACATTGCTAATTTATCTATTGTTAGCTGCTAATTTATCTATTGGACGTTGCTAATTTATCTATTGTTATCTGCTAGTCTATCTATTGTAAGCTGCTAATTTATCTATTGTTAGCTGCTAGTCTATCTATTGTAAGCTGCTAATTTATCTATTGGACGTTGCTAATTTATCTATTGTAAGCTGCTAATTTATCTATTGGACGTTGCTAATTTATCTATTGTTAGCTGCTAATTTATCTATTGGACGTTGCTAATTTATCTATTGTAAGCTGCTAGTTTATCTATTGGACGTTGCTAATTTATCTATTGTTATCTGCTAGTCTATCTATTGTAAGCTGCTAATTTATCTATTGTTAGCTGCTAATTTATCTATTGGACGTTGCTAATTTATCTATTGTAAGCTGCTAGTTTATCTATTGGACGTTGCTAATTTATCTATTGTTATCTGCTAGTCTATCTATTGTAAGCTGCTAATTTATCTATTGTTAGCTGCTAATTTATCTATTGTAAGCTGCTAATTTATCTATTGGACGTTGCTAATTTATCTATTGTAAGCTGCTAATTTATCTATTGGACGTTGCTAATTTATCTATTGTAAGCTGCTAATTTATCTATTGGACGTTGCTAATTTATCTATTGGACGTTGCTAATTTATCTATTGTTAGCTGCTAATTTATCGCTTTTAAGCACGAAGCGAACTTTAGTCTTTATTTACTTCGTTCCGGGAAATTAAATCCCAGTTCACATTTTTAAAAGATAAGGCCCGGTGTACACCCGTACACATGCACGTATCACCTTAGTGTACACAAACTCAAAACCACGGTGTTCACACAGCTATGTCACCATCTTTTGTATCACACATATTGTGTCACCATTTGACTTTTATGTGCGCCCATGACTAACAAGAAGGAAATAATAACTTAAAACGCGAATCAGACACCAAATACAAATTTAAGCTAATCAGACACCAAATACAACTTTTAAGCTAATCAGACACCAAATACAAATTTTAAGCTAATCAGACACCAAATACAAACTTTAAACGAATCAGACACCAAATATAAATTTTAAGCTAATCAGACACCAAATATAAATTTTACGAATCAGACACCAAATACAAATTGTAATCTAATCAGACACCAAATACATATTTTAAGCTAATCAGACACAATATACAATTTTAAGCTAATCAGACACCAAATACACATTTTTAAGCTAATCAGACACCAAATACAAATTTTAAACGAATCAGCAGCCTTAAACAATCACGCGCTAAGACTGAAACATGTCTAGCTATTTCCCCTCCCCTTGCCCCTCCCCACAACCAACAAACAAACAAGATCCACATCAGCTGTGGCTTGTGTAACTAAAACTAAAAAGTTCGGTCAGTATTCCTAGTTTAACATTGCCAGTACAGTACTGTTTAACTCAATAAAATTATGTGGACCTTTGTTTAAATAAAAATAAAACAATAAAAACGTTTCGATTTGAAAAAAAATGTACGTGATTAATGCCGCATTTGGTCAGTTGTTTTTTTAGATTTTTGAAATGGTTACCCACTGAAGCCAGTCTATGGTCACGCTAATATTTCCATATATTTCATTTAAACAAAACGCCTGATCCACGATATTGCACTTAAAAATAGTTCATTAACAAAATAGCAACTCAAAACCCAATTTTTTTTCCTTTATCGATGTTTCTGGCATCAAAAAATTAAAAAGAAATGTATCAGATTTTTAAACAGATCTCACGCTCCAGGACCACGCATCACTTTTGTCAGGAAACTTTTGAAAAAGGCACAATCACTTTGTTTACTTACTATCGTAGTTTTTTTTTTTTTTAATTTTAAAAATAACACTACTGCTCTGAATAATAAAATCCATAAATCGTGATCAAAAGTTTCAAGAAGCAATAGAGTTAGTTGGATTTAACCCACATCCCCAGTAGGGCGTTGAATAGCCAGCGAGGCATCCTAACAACCATTTCAATGGTGACAAAATACTACTTTTAAAATTTCCCTTTAAATATTTTTTCCGTACTTTGTTTTGTACGAAGCCGATATATGTAACATCATGTCTGACCCGAGCACAAATAGGTTGATATATTTAAAAGTTCCAAACTTCTGTTCATGGTGATAAAAATATCAATTCAAAATTACTTTAACGATTTTTTTCATAATGATGCTTATGAAATGAACACATGAAATGTATAAAAACCTGAATGTGTCAAAAACGAAATAAAAGAATTGAAGCTTACGTTGTTCCAGTGGTTAACTGTTTGAACGAAATTAAACACAAAATCTTTTTCAAAGCTAGTGTTTAAATGACGTCATATCAGGCTCGAGAATTGCAGACGATTAATTTTCTCTTTCCAGCAGACGTGAATGTCTGTCGTCTGACATACTCTCGGCAGAACTGAACTGGGCTGGGCTGGGCGCCCTCTACAACTGCGTCGGTAGGGACCGGACTGTGAAATCAGAGAAATTTACCACACATGTAAAGTTATTAATTATCATATCAGACGGGAGAGGAACCTGTTTCAGCTAGACTGCTTAGGTCCGGTTCTTGTCATGGGGGCGGTTCTCAAACGGAGCAGTTTGATCTCATTAACAGTGGTCAAACTTGATGACAACAATCTTCCTTTTTACATGAATATATTTCCTATTTTACAGAAACGTGTACAGTTTTACAGATTATGTACCATTGTACAGGACTTGTACCATTGTATTAGACAACAACCGTTGTTACAGTGCTCAGATTCTTCACGTGTTTGTTTTCATACCTGGATGTGTCAGTATAGCTGATGTCGAAAAAAGTGTTTCGTGAATATAAGTACGTTTTGCGTGATCGTTTGTCACGTTGAAGGAAACGTGATGGTCACGGTAACTCACGGCCATGTCACGGTTAGACTGACATGGTCTTGGTAAACCAGACGACGGTACGGGTTGTCAGCTGACTGCCTGGGGTTCGAACCTGCTCTACGGTAGTGAGGGTACCTTGTCCCGCTGGCGCTAGGACAAGTAGGTACCACTTGTTGGTCGTCAAACACAGTGATGGTGGTATGATGGTGGTGGTGTCATGGTGGTGTCATGGTGGTGTGGTGGTGTCATGGTGGAGTGGTGGTGGTGTGATGCTGTGTTTGATGGTGGTGTGATGGTGTGTGTGTGATAGTGGTGTGATGGTGGTGGTATCATGGGGGTGTCATGGTGGTGTCATGGTGGTGTCATGGTGGTGTGATAGTGATGCGATGGTGGTGTGATGGTGGTGGTGTCATGGTGGTGTGGTGGTGGTGTCATGGTGGTATCATTGTGGTGGTGTGATGGTGGTGTGATGGTGGTGGTTTCATGGTGGTGCCATGGTGGTGTCATGGTGGTGTCATGGTGGTGTCATGGTGGTGTCATGGTGCTGGTGTGATGGTGGTGTGATGAAGGTGTCATGGTGGTGTCATGGTGGTGTGGTGGTGTCATGGTGGAGTGGTGGGGGTGTGATTCTGTGTTTGATGGTGGTGTGTGTGTGATAGTGGTGTGATGGTGGTGGTATCATGGTGGTGGTGTCATGGTGGTGTCATGGTGGTGTCATGGTGGTGTCATGGTGGTGTCAAGGTGCTGGTGTCATGGTGGTGTGATGAAGGTGTCATGGTGGTGTCATGGTGGTGTCATGGTGGTGGTGTGATTGTTCCTGATTAACACAATTTCTGACAAAGAAAATGTGACAATTATGATGGGACGGAGTGGTCTAGCGGTAAAGAGCTGGACTGCTAACCCGTTAGTCTTGAGTTCGAACACGGGTTCAAGTCAGTAGACCGTCCCTGAGTCCATCCAACTCTGATGGGTACCTAACTCACGTTAGGGAAAGTAAAGGCGGCTGGGCATAGTGCTGACCACACTATCTCTTCAAATGCCGAGGTCACAGAAACAAGTGAACTCTACTTCACTTGCCCCATAGATCGTCAGGTTTGAAAGGGAAACTTTACTTTACTTATCTTATGATAGTGAAATGCTGACTTACTTATCTTCAGATAGAGAAAAGCTGACTTGCTTATCTTCTGATAGAAACGGTTAGTTACTAATCTTCTGATAGCGAAATTCTGACTTATTTATTTTCTGAAAATTAAAGGCTGACTTACTTATCTTGACATTGCCTCTACATGACAGCACTGTGGCTACAACCACTGAACTTAAAAATTCTGACAACCTACATGTGTAATTGCTAGCTAAAGATTACAATTAAATCTAATCATAGTTATGACGTCGGAAGAGCGATGTGTTCGCTGGGTATGAAGATAAGGGCTATGGGTGGGGAGGGGGAGAGTTAGGAGGCTCAGAAACATGCGGATCAGCCAAGGGAGGTAGATATATTTGAGGGGCCCATCCTTCAGCTAGAGATGGCCTCTGTGAGCTAAAGTAGCCCTATCGATGAGCTAAAAGTGGCCCAAGTGGTGAGCTAGAGGTGGCCCCAATAGTGAGTCAAAAGATTGTTTTATTCAATTAAAACCACTGTTGTTGGACCTTTACTGGCATAGGGTAACAAAATGGTGGTGGTGGAGGGGGGTGACATGTGAGGGTGGGGTAGAGGGGTAGAGTCTTGTTATTTGAAACATCGTGACGTCATCAATAGATCTGCATCCACCTGAAGAGACCAAACACAACAGGTGAGCCTCACATTGTCTGCTGGTGGTACTCACTCCGTCGTGGACGTGACTGACACAGCCGCCATGTTGAATGAGCAGCATAGAAGAATGAGTCACGACAACGTAGCTATATGTCATGCACTGAAAGATAAACTGAAAACGTGAAGTTCAAGACAGTTCAAAACATTGAACCATCGTTTCGAATCTCCTAACCAACTGACTAACGTGATGGCTACCATCATGGCAGTGTTGACAAAAAAATTTGAACCATCGTTAGGAATCTTTTAACCGACTGACCCGTAGCATTCTAATAACAACTTTTTTTTTGTTTATTTGGGATATTTATACGCACATTTATGCAAAAGGTCGCGACCTTCACCTACAAAACCTACGCTGTAGTTAATAGAGTTGTGTTTAAGACTTTGTGTACTAAAACTTTCCTGTGTAAACAATGTACATTATGCAACATTTCATTGAACATTTGTTGCGAAAATCAACGTATACTCGCAAGGGGAGATCACAGATCATTACTGGCAACATGAATGAGATCGCACTAGGCTATAGTAACATGAGGGCTGATAAGTTTTATTCTATGTTGCCAACTAAGCAAGGTGTGCGAGATAAGTTTTTAAAAAATTCACACAAACAAAACAAATGGAACAAATAAAACTTTACTGAGGTAGTGTAGAAAGATACAAAACTTCTGTGGAGCGTAGAGGCTTACATTCATGTAGTGCCCTACATGTTAAGTAGTAAGTTATGTGGTGTTAAAGCTTAATTAGTATAGCGTAATTATCTTCATAACCTTCTGAACTTTTTGTCTAATTTAAAGTCAGCCTGTCTAATTGGTTTAATGAAGCGTCATAATTGTCTAGATCACGTGGCTAGGTTCATTCACCTTCCGCTTACACCACTACATACATCTATATATATACAGTGAGGTGGGTCACATCTATATATATATATATATATATATATATATATATATATATATATATATATATATATATATATATATATATATATATACATACAGAGAGATGGGTCACGGCTAGATATATACAGAGAGGGGTGGGTCACAGCTAGATATATACAGAGGTGGGTCATAGCTAGATATATACAGAGGTGGGTCACAGCTAGATATATATAGAGAGGTGGGTCACAGCTAGATATATACAGAGAGGTGGGTCACAGCTAAATATATTCACCAAGTGTCTGCTTTATCTTATGCTGACATTTGTCTTCTGTGAGACTATTGTCTTGATAAGAACCAGATGGGCAGACATTTGTCGTGGCTGTCGATTAAAGCATATGTTCATCTCCAGTATCTATTGTCGGAAATTTGTTTTTGGCTTCATTCGACAGACTTTTGTCTTGGGCTTCACCTGACAGACTTTTGTCTTGCTGAAAATATGATTGGTCACATACAACTTTCTTTAGAATGGACAAATGAGGTCAGAGGTCAACACATTACTGTTGACCCAGATAATTAGACAATGATCTTTCATGTGTTGACGGTAAATTAAACACGAGGGAAAGTTAATTAGTTCAATAGAAAGAAAGTTGTATATTTTTAAACAGAACGAAAAGTAAAAATGAAAACAATTACACTGAAAGAGTATCTCTAGGACTAGGACAAGAGCTAGGACTAGGACCAAATGCTACATATTAGTGCCTCAAAACCTGTAAGTACATTCACCTATCCCTAAGTAAATTACCAAAATGGTGACCTATCCTTACAGTAAGTGACAACGTTATCGACCAAGTACTAAAGCTAAACAGCTCAGCTTTGAGACCATCACCAGTAGACCGCCAAACAACTAAAGAACGGAGCTAACGTTTAAAAACAAACAGTCGAGTGAAATGTTTACAATCTTTTGTTCCAACTGACGGAACAATGTTCAACTTTTTAACTATTTAGATCTTTAAATGTGGCACAACACAAAAATTATTGGCAACTACTCTACGTGAAATGTAAAACTAATATGTTCCGTCACAGTGGCCTTAATTTCTCTGTTTTGATTTAATTAGAATTGTTTTTCTAATTTAATAAATTCTCTTTAATTCTGCGCCCCTCCACGTACGTAAGTCACCTTCGCGCTGATATCATATTATGTATGCACAGAATTTATGATGGGAATATCAAGGGGCTCTACCCGTGACTAAATATGCCTCAGGGGAAATAACTCCGCTTTGATGTAACAGCAGTGCATGTCCATAACGGTTAGAGAAACAAAAGATGGGTTCGTGGAGCGTGCTAGGAATCTAGCAGACGACAGTCACACAAAGGCTGATTGTGTCAGTCAGCGACCAAAGTCGAATGATACTTTTGATGGACCGAACCTAATTGAACCGATCAGAGAATTCGAAAAGTTTCAAAGTCGATGGAAGGTCGTCAGTGACATTACCTCACCTACAAGGAAGAGTTCTTTGGCTTCCTACGTGCTCAGTAACTAGGTAACTAGAACTAATTCATCGGGGGCAGATGTGGTGATGTAACAAAGGGCTAATTCACCAGGTGTGGTGATGTAACAAAGAGCTAATTCACCAGGTGTGGTGATGTAGCAAAGGGCTAATTCATCAAGTGTGGTAATGTAACAAAGGGCTAATTCATCAGATGTGGTGATGTAACAAAGAGCTAATTCATCAGACCCTGATTTGTTGAATAATCAAAGAGCTAATTAATAGATCAGATTTGATAAAGTAACAAATTTCCCTCTCTTAATTTATAGCTGGTAATTTGTGTCTAGAACTTAGTGAGCTTTTTCTTTCAGATGAGGGGAGGGCGGTTTTTAAAAAAATACGTGTAACATGATATTTCTTCTATCTGACATCTCTGCC